ATAAAACTAAAAAAAACTAAAACTAATAGTGGTATAAGACAGTTTTTACTGGAGCAAATGCAAAAGACATAAAAATAACTGGATCTTTGGGATCTTCTTTATGCTTTGACAGGTTTTGCGATAGGGATGCCTGTGTGTGAGTTTGACCTTGTGAAGGATACTGAGGTTCAGGACTTCAGGAGAAACATCCTAAATGTTTGTAAAGACTCTGTGGAGCTGAGAGATGCCAGTGGTCCTCACAGCAGAGCTTTGTATGTTTACCCACCTAATGTAGAATCAACACAGGAACTTCCCAAACACATCTATAGCAAACTTGACAAAGGTACACATTATTTTCTGCAATGCTTTTTACATTTTGCTTTATTCTAAGAATAAGTGATGTTCAAAGAAACCATTTGAGTGGGTCCAGCATGAAGTTCTTGTATTAAATCAATAGACAAAGAAGCACTGTACTGTATTCCATATGGAATAATGCTATGAAATAATGAATGCTACTATTTTTGTTCTCCTTTAGGGAAAAAAAATGTTTTCTTGACTCTTTTTCTAAAACCCAAGTTTTCTATGTCTGTTTTATTTACCGATATATTTTTTTAGGTCAGATTATTGTTGTAATATGGGTGATTGTTTCCCCAAACAATGACAAACAAAAGTATACACTGAAGATCAACCATGATTGCGTGCCTGAACAGGTGGGGTGAATAAATCACTTATTAAAGTTTTTTTTAATTTTTTATCCATCTTAATTTGGACATTTAATAATTAAATACTAAAATGTATCTGTGTACAATAACAAAGAATACAAGCCTTTTTACATTTCGGTACAGTTGTAATGTATGTATCATGCCTTTAAGGTAATTGCAGAGGCCATCCGAAAGAAGACGCGCAGTATGCTGCTGTCCCCAGAGCAACTAAAGATGTGTGTTCAGGAATATCAAGGGAAATACATCCTTAAAGTTTGTGGCTGTGATGAATATCTCCTTGAAAAGCATCCCATTAGCCAGTATAAGGTAAGAGACTGCTCACTGATTTACGCTAAAATGAACTGTTCATACTTTTTATCTGTATTGTTTCGTCACTGTTTTATTATGTATGAGCAGCTGCTGGAAACTGACTTCACATAATTGGTTACAGGTCAGACGCAATGTAATTCAAGCAGATTTTTTAAAAACGTATTGTTGTTCTCTTTGTGTTTTTTCCTAGTATATTCGTAGTTGCATCATGCTGAACAGGATGCCTAACCTGATGCTCATGGCTAAGGACAGCCTTTACACCCAGTTGCCTACAGATAACTTTGTCATGCCGTCATACTCTCGACGGATCTCCACGGCGACGTCCTATATGAATGGAGAGGCAGCTTCCAAGTCGCTGTGGACCATCAATGGAACCCTACGAATACGAATCCTCTGTGCCACCTATGTTAACGTGAATATACGAGATATAGATAAGGTAAGAGTGCCCAGTGAATACACAAATCGTAGTCTGTTCATCTATAATATTAAACAACACTTTTTGATTACAATTAATAATTTCCACCATCCATTTTTTACTTATATGAATGATAGAAGAACCAAAAACTGATCAAATACAAGAAGTTACTTTTAGTATAAATAAAGATTTGTTTTTGGAGCCATATCAGTTGGCTGTTTTTTCAGTTGTGCACATTATCCTATCATCCTGCTTCTTCACATCCTGTTGAAACAAACAGTCATTGTTGGGGTCTTTGTGAACAGCTAATTCAAAGCGAAGCAGTTCTATTACTTTATGCTGGTTTGTTGTCTGGAAACAATCTGACAAAACTACCAAACTGCCTACAATTTAGAGAGTCCTAAACTTTTACTGGGACCTCTTACGGGATATGAATCTTGTAATTCTAAGATATCTGCTAGTGTGTAAAAAGATCAATAATTTTGAAGAATAATATGTTAGTCTTGATTAAAACTTATTTTGTTTTGTATTTATGTACTTGTAGATATATGTGAGGACAGGAATTTACCATGGAGGTGAACAAATGTGTGACAACGTCAACACACAAAGAGTACCCTGCTCTAATCCCAGGTAACTAATTGCCCTGTAGAGGGACGGGGAGTAGACAGAAAACGTGGTTTCTTTAAACGTTACATTTTTAAAATTAAAGTTAAAGTTAAATAATAAAAACTGGAATGAATGAGAGTCACCTGAAATAGTTTTTATGGTGTCTGTACATTGTTTAAGGCAGTGGTTCCCAACACTGGTCCTTGAGGAACACCATCCTGCATTGTTTAGTTGCTTCTCCACTCCAGCACACCTGATTTGAATGAATGGGTGATTAACAGGCTTCTGCAGAACTTGAGGAAATAAATCACTGAGTCAAGTGTGTTAAAGCAGAGAAACAACTAAAATATGCAGGATGGTGTTCCGCAAGGACCAGAGTTGGGAACCACTGGTTTAAATACCTGATTAACCCAGCTGAACACTAAGTGTACAGAGAATTGCTTTTAAAAACTTTTTCAGCTCCTGCTCATTTTCTTGTATGTGGGCTTGTCTAATAAAGTATCTCCGTTGTTCTTTCTGTAGGTGGAATGAGTGGCTCACCTATGACATGTACATCCCTGACATCCCCCGAGCTGCCAGACTTTGCCTCTCCATCTGCTCAGTCAAGGGCAGAAAGGGAGCAAAAGAAGTAAGAAAGAAAACAGTCTCATCAAATCAATATGTGTAATAAATGGAGACATTTGTGAAAATTGAAATATTTGTTTTGTACACACCATTTGGGCCTAAATACACATTTAAAAAGTGAAGGTAAATACAGACCGCACAATAGTTGTTACCATCTAAAGATATGGGGTTACAAGCATTGTCTCAAGAATAGCACACTAACCCACCCAGGACATGTATGCGTATACGTGTCTTTTGTGTATGGTGGTGTGCGAGTATGAAAGTGATCTACTTTGTGTGTCAGTCTGAGTACATGTGTCCGTGATAAATGGAAGCTGTGGTGTCATCTTTGGCTCTGTTTAATTACTAATCAGCCAGGGCACTGTGGTAGCGGGAAACGTCAGCTGAAGACAGAACCAGTAGGAGGAAGTTTTAACATTCATGTTTAGATGCACATTTTTTTACCCCTGTGCAAACCACATGGACATGCTTTTTAAAATGAATTAGAATATATCAAACTTCTTAAAAAAAGAAAGCTAAAATAAATGCAAATAAAGTAAACTAAATCAATTAATATTGTGAAAAATATCGTACTCGGTTAGTGTTTTGGTATTTTTTTATGTTTTAGCAGCATTCGTTCAAAATTTGGAAGAGGTGTCGTCTGTATATTTGTGTATGTGAATGTGTGTGGAGTGTCTCGGTGAATGCCAGACATGGATATTGTAACAGACACCTAGGGCGAGTCCTGTCTCCTGCACCGTGAAGCAAGGTTTGATGTCAGTTTAGCGGATGCTCTTTCATGCCCTGTCTGAATTAAAGATAAACAGTTTAATGCATCGGTCCTTTGTTCCAGCACTTACTATAAATAGGTGCATTTTGACTGGCTGGCTGTACGTAATTCAGTCTGATGCTTTTTGTCGCCTGGGTACATCACTAACCTTTTGTTAAAAAGACTTTGGCAAGTGATATGTTATTGGTAGGTTTGATTAACATGATCATAAAATTGTATCATGAATTCACATTACTTTTAAGATTTGGCTACACTTTTTAAGGTCAGTTATTGCAGCTGCGTCATCCTAGTTATGCACTGAGCAACATTTTATCTGTGACATTCGGAAACCATGAAAATGTTTTTTGCATTCTTTCCTATTAAAACGCTGAGATTTGTATTTACCTTCACAGTTTGTGTTTTGTTTCCCAGGAACACTGCCCTCTAGCTTGGGGTAACATCAATCTGTTTGATTACACTCACACTCTGGTGGCCAACAAGATGGCTCTGAATCTCTGGCCCGTCCCTCATGGTCTTGAAGACCTCCTCAACCCTATAGGAGTCACTGGTTCCAATCCCAATAAGGTTTTAATATTTCTGATCTTATCAAAAGTAAAAACAAAAAACTTAAGCGTCATAAAAAAGCTTGAAAGTGTTTTTGTGAGCATGTATTTAATGTTTGTTTAGGAAACACCGTGTCTTGAGCTGGAGTTTGACCACTTTAGCAGTCCTGTCAAATATCCAGATATGAACGCAGTAGAAGATCATGCAAACTGGACCATCTCCAGGGAACTGGGGTTTAACTACAACCTCTCAGGACAGGTGGGACATTTGTAGGTTGCAATCTGTATGCGTTTGTGACAAGGCAACTAACAAACTGTGCAGCCACTTTTTGCGCACCAAAATGTTTTAAACTTAAAATTTTTGTGTGCACGTCTTGCAGAACTAGGTCATGCATGTTCTTTTGTTGCCCACCTCCGCCCACACAATACCTTTCTTGACCTACTTTGCAACCACCTTGTCCGTATCCCTACATTTATATTTTGATCTACTGAAGTACACTTTTGAAATGAAGATAAGCATTTTGAATCATATTTTTTAAATCACTATTATTGATAAATTTATTGATCATTATGGTGGTTAAACCTAAGTAGACTGGACTGTAGCCTCAGATGTTCTGTCAAATGGAGAGCTCCTGCGGTCTAGAAGCTTTGCACCGAGTATTTACGTAGGATTTGTTTTATAAAGACTTCAGTGCACTCTTTTTTTTTTTTTTTTCAAGTGTAAACAATGCATAGTGTTACATTACAAATATTTACAAGTTTTCAGAAAGTAACAAGAATAAACAGGTGGCATTTTACAAAAAATATCACTAGTGCTCTCGAATTACTGAAACTACTACACTGGTAAAAATTTGAGACTCACACCAATAATTATTTTAAGCGACATTTGTCACACTAATTTTTTTAAACACATTCAAAAATTAAGAAACAAAACTGCAACTCTGCATTTCACACAAGAAAGTTGTGAACCCTCACAATTAGGTCAAGAGATTTGGGAGACTTTGTCATAAATGCCATTCACCAACTGTTGCAGCCCTGTGAAATATTAGGTTTTGGAGGCATTTGTGGCTTGATGAATTTTGCATGGTGTACTGTGCATTACTGAATATATAGTGTGTAAAAGTACAATCTGATAAATTAACTGTGTTAGGCTAGAAGGTGCCATCACTCTCTGCAGTGTGATTACGGCACTCCTTACACTTGATACACAAACGGACACCATAAATAGCACATCGTCTCATCTCACACTTTAGGCAACCTCATAGGGAAAGCAAATACATTTATTTATTATAATTCTATGTGATGTGCAGCATGATGACAGTAATATCCACTGTGTTGTGCAAGACGTCTACTTTCATGTTAGTAATTTTTGATTCTCTGGCATGTTGTACAAATGTTTAAAACTGGATATGTATTTACAAATCTCATTTTTACTTATAGTAACTTTGCATTTAATAGTACAGAAAATACTAAGGCTATTGCCTATATCAAGGTATTTTTTAAATGTTGTGAAGATTTCCTTTGATTTTGTTGTGTTGAGGGCTACTGTAAACAGTTGCAGTCGGGAATCCATGAAAACTGACTTACTCTTTTTACAGACAGTTAAATTTGTGAAGACGTTGATAAAAGGATGTTGCTCATAAATTGATGAAATGTTTCAACGAGTTATTAATAATTACTCATACTTATTTTAATGATTTCTGTGAATACTTGAATCTTGGCTCAGCTGTGCCAGTTTCAGTTACCCTCTTCAGGTATTAATGATGGTGAAGCTCTGTCTTATCAGATTTCTAAATGATGTGTTGCATGAGAACCATGACTTCTGTTGTATTAATGGGATGTGATGTGAAAGGATGTGAAAAGTGTTGGATAATGTGCTGAGCATTTCATGTTGTGTGTTGAATGTGAGGAGGAACCATCTTGCAGCGTGTGACAGTAATGTGGATTTAACCTTGCTAAAATTGAATTATTTTACTTGTCTCAAACATAGATTCAATCTGGATTAACAATTTTCATACAGACCATGAGCTTGTTTTTGCTCTTTGGTGTTAGTGGAATGGAGTTATTGGAGCTTTTTTCATATAACACATTTGTGTTTAACTTAGAAGTATTAAACAATTATTTTTTAGTTGTATTGCTTGTTGTGTCTAACCTTATCTATATGACTGGCATGAAGTTGTGCTTTCATTTGTTTTATTTGTTTATGTTGACAGTTTTACCTCCAGCTTAATAATGACAGCAAGTGTTCTGTTTAATGGTGGTAATATAACACTGAAGTGTTTCAGAATGTTTGACTTCTGTTGGGTTTTAGAGCAATCGCGTGGCCAGAGATCATGCCCTCACGGAGAGTGACACTGAGCAGCTGAGACAGCTGAGTAACCGGGACCCTCTGTCGGAAATCACTGAGCAGGAAAAAGATTTTCTCTGGAGACACAGGTATGGCCACTACAGTAATTAACCACAGGATCCACAACTTGATTGATCATGGATCTATAAAGTAAAACCAATTCTATAAGAATTACTTTTTCTTCCTCTTGTAGACACTACTGCATGAACATCCCCGAAATTCTTCCCAAGATTCTTCTTGCAGTAAAATGGAACTCCAGAGATGAAGTAGCACAGGTAACATCATTTTATACACGTTTATTGTTTTAAAGATTTATCGTCCATAACATTTACTGAACACATTTTAAACTGATTGCTCACCTCGTTTACAGAACAGTTTCTAAAATGCAACAAACCTTAAATTCTAATTATGCCAGTTTGGTTTAATTTAATTAATTTATAATCTGTGATGTAGTGGATTTTTTTTTATATCCTCTGCTTATTTCTTGTTAAAGTGTTGTCATCAAATTCTGATTCAGTTATATTTTATAAATTCAATGAAATGCCAATAAAAATTGAAAAATGCATTTTGTTTGTATATCTGTTTTAAATAAAGGTATAATTTGTTGAATTACATTCTGCGTTTTAGAAAACTTTCCACTATTCATTCCTTGTTATTTTACACTTATGTCAGCTTCAAAAAGAAGTCTTGTTAAATGTGCAAATTTGTCTTTTTTAACTTTATAGTTTTGAAAACATTTTATAGTATGGTGTTTTTTAATTGTGTTGTGTAAAATGTATGTGCATAGAAGCAGTAAATTTTTTGAAGCAGATTAATTCATAATTATTTTTGTCTGCCAGATGTATTGCCTGTTGAAGGAATGGCCTTCTATCCGTCCAGAGCAGGCCATGGAGCTGTTGGATTGTAATTATCCAGACCCTATGGTCAGGCACTTTGCTGTCCGCTGCCTTGAAAAATACTTGACTGATGATAAACTGTCTCAGTACCTCATCCAGCTTGTACAGGTTGGTGTTAGTCAAATATAGGGTAAAGTAAAATCTAAATTTTACTGTTGTTTCAATAAAGTGCACTGGCTTTTCATGTCAATTTCACATTTTCTTTATTTGTGGTGGTCTCTCAAACCCTCCTTGGTTGACCTCGTTCAAAGTTACCTGCTACATGAACAAGTGCTTCTATTATTTTGGTCCCTGAATCAATCTCCCTTTCAGAAAAAGCACACCAGACAGAGCAGACAGCTTGCAGCACAACCATCTGGATCTTTACTGTTATCCACACCTTAACAATGAATAATTGGACAACAGTTGAAACTTTAGAAGGAATGTGGTTTGCGGACATGGAAACCATGTAGCCAGTCTTACTCACTGTTACCAGTGATGCGTTTCTTTGTTTTTACGCTGAAGCAGAAGCCAAAGCAGGGCCTTTCTAAGAAATGTGGATGTCCTACGTTCCTATGTTTTTCACACAAAATGTGGCTTCTTTTTCTTTTAATCACAAGAGCGAAGTGTTCTTGTTTATTAAATGACTGTCCCCTTTGTGCATCTTTCTTGTAGGTATTAAAATATGAGCAGTATCTCGACAATCCGCTGGCTCGTTTTCTCCTCAAAAAAGCTCTGACCAATCAAAGGATAGGACATTTTTTCTTCTGGCATCTAAAGTGAGTCACTCCCTTATGCTTTGCAACACATGATTTTGCCTTTATTGGCATCTAGCTCTGCACTACACTTCACTTTGTGTCATTCACAGGTCAGAAATGCACAATAAAACTGTGAGCCAGAGGTTTGGGCTCCTTTTGGAAGCTTACTGCAGAGCTTGTGGCATGTACCTCAAACACCTGAGCAGGCAGGTAGAGGCCATGGAGAAGCTCATCAACCTCACTGACATCCTCAAACAGGAAAAAAAGGATGAAACGCAAAAAGTAAGTTGGCAGCACAAGTTATTTTCATGTCCATATTAAGTACAGTGTAACTATGTGAGACAAACTGTTTTAATTTGTCATTTTTAATAGTTTAAAAGTGCACAGTTGATGCCTGAGGAGCTTGTGCTTTAAAATAGTTTTTTTGATTTATTTGATAATTTCCTTAACATTTTTTACATCTTATAACTTCAGTCACACTCACAATGTGTCATGTTTACAATTGTAATTTTATCTGTCTTGTAAAGGTCCAGATGCGGTTTCTTGTGGAACAAATGAAGAGACCAGATTACATGGATGCTCTGCAGAACTTCACATCTCCTCTCAACCCTGCACATCAACTGGGAAATCTGAGGTCAGTAACTTTAACAGAACGAGCTGTTGTGTATTAGTTTGTAAGATTTTATTTATTTATTTACTTACCTATTTAATTTTATTTGTGCTCAGGTTAGATGAATGCCGAATCATGTCATCAGCAAAGAGGCCGTTGTGGCTTAACTGGGAGAATCCTGACATCATGTCTGAATTACTTTTTCAAAACAATGAGATCATCTTCAAAAATGGAGATGGTAAGATTTCACCACACAGACACAAACACACACCCTAAACCCTGTTTCAATCTCTTCTAGAAGTTGGTATGTACACCAAATCAAAAGCTGCATACATTTACTTTGATTACATTTTTATACAACCTACTGCATCTGTTCTAGTATATGATACATTATGAGGTATAATTAAAATGTAAATAAAATATACAAGCATAGGAGAATGTTTATCAATAAACAGCAGTTTTTATAATTGTGTGACACCACATCTTAAGTTTACAATAGACAAAAATTAACGCTTTTACAAATATTATATATTTTACAATTTTGAGGAACCTTTAATATTTTTGTTCTGACGAACCGTGTTGCTTATTCCATACAGTATTCATAATTGCTGACACAAATTGATTTGGTCCTGTAAAACATTACGGCAAAAGCAGTTATCTTTTACAATTACAGGAACTTGTTTTTTAATTTTTTTTATCTTGGTGCATAAATAACAATCATTTTGTGTATTTTAGATTTGCGCCAGGATATGTTGACATTGCAGATCATTAAAATCATGGAGAACATTTGGCAGAATCAGGGACTGGACCTACGGTAGAACCTTCACTTTGATTTGTGTGTGTGTGTGTGTATCCATCTGATTCTTTAGGCCCTAATCTTTATTGCACTACTCTGGATTAAGAAAGTATTCTTTGTGTTTTTGCAGAATGTTGCCCTATGGCTGTCTGTCACTGGGAGACTGTGTAGGTCTTATAGAGGTAGTTCGAAACTCCCACACCATCATGCAGATTCAGTGTAAAGGAGGTCTGAAAGGAGCCCTGCAGTTCAACTCAAATACTCTGCATCAGTGGCTCAAGGACAAGAACAAGGGAGAGATGTGAGTTCCTTTCTGGTGAAAAAAGCAAAAATTGTATATTTTTGTCAATTATAGGTACCGTATGTGAGATTGTATGGATACTTTAGGGGAAAATAATTTAGGGGAAATTTTCAAGCTAAAGTTTTTTGTTACTTTGCTTACATTCTTTTGTTAAACTAACATTTATACAATTCTAATTTAGTTTTCAAATCCAGAATTAGCTGTATCAATTCTTACTGTCCGAACATCTTTTTGTGTATTTTTTGTGTCTGTGCAGGTATGACATGGCTGTGGATCTGTTCACAAGGTCCTGTGCTGGCTACTGTGTAGCTACATTTATCCTGGGGATAGGAGACAGGCACAACAGCAACATTATGGTCAAAGATGACGGGCAGGTACACGTAACACAGCTCAAGGAATTAATTAAACTGTAAAATGTTTAAGTTTTACATAAAACCATCATAGATTAAATAAATTTACTGTGGATTTATACATTATCTGTTTGAATACATTTGTGATTTACAGGATCAGTGTTTAGACATTAATTCTTAAGACCTTCATGTGATGTTAAAAAATGGTCAGAAATGTTTCAGTATATGTTGATTTATTTGAACATACTTATTTATATTACGTAATAACAGTTTTATTATTCATTTTTTAGGTGTCACTTCTATAAATACAATTTTATTCATAATCTGATCTTTGAATTTAAGCTGACATCCTCTTTTTTTTCTATTCTGCTTTGCCTTTTGTCAGTTGTTTCATATAGATTTTGGACATTTCCTGGATCATAAGAAAAAGAAATTTGGCTACAAGAGAGAACGGGTACCCTTTGTACTGACACAAGACTTCCTCATCGTGATCAGCAAGGGATCCCAGGAGTGCGCAAAGACCAAAGAGTTTGAAAGGTGCTTCAGCGTTTTAATACTACCGGTACTTTTCTCTCTCTCCTCACTTAAGCCCTTTTCTTACTTTATGTAGAAAATGATAAAGTGGGTAACTGGCATATTAAAATGCCCTGATGCATGCTCAATAATCCAGTTAGATAAATCTAATAATAAGAATCCGTCCAGAGAGCTTGACTCAACCTTGTTAGAGTACCACATCAAAACTTTGTTACTGTGGACCTTTCTGAAGTCTGACTAATGGATTTTCATTAGAAATAATTATTTGGGTGATGTTGCATAAATTATTTAGTTTTTAAAAAATTGTTTCTTAGTATCGTAGTGCCTTGACAAGTCAAAGTGAATATAAAAATTTACCGCACAGTTCGAGATGTGATTTTTGTGATTAAAAATACTCACTGCTGCACATTGCTGTCTAAGAACCAGTGTCCATTTTATTTTATTTTTTTGCTGCGTCATTAAAAAAGAAATTACCAATCACTTAAACTAAATTTATTTCCTTTCTTGCTGTTACCAAGTACTTGTTATAATAAATGTTTTATTTAATTGCAACTACCGTAGATAAAATGATTAAGTGATGATTTAAATAAATAAATTGTAGGAAGTTTCAGCGTGACAACGTAGTGGTCCAGTTGTGCCTAATGCATGTATCAGTTTTTGAATGAAAACAAACTTACCACTGCTAAAACCTACATAGGTCTGTGAAACACTGATTAATGTATGGCAATTTTATTGTCAAATGTCGAAATAGTTTTTATAGTTCTTAACGTTTGCTCAGATGCCACCAGACTAGAAATTAAATGGATGAACTCCCAGTTGAAGGAATATTTTCCTGTTTGTTTAAAATTGTTGTCTGACCTGCAGTGCTTTTACTTTTCAAATCGTAAAGCGATTTTGTGTAAACTACATTCACCTTCGTTCTCCAGGTTCCAGGAGATGTGTTACAAAGCTTACCTGGCCATTCGTCAACATGCCAACCTTTTCATTAACTTGTTCTCCATGATGCTCGGCTCTGGCATGCCTGAGCTACAATCATTTGATGACATCGCTTACATCCGAAAAACGCTGGCTCTAGAGAAGAGTGAACAGGTGAGTAGTATTTTTTTGTTTTGTTTTTTTAATCTATGCAAATGTTTAAAAATATTCCATCTTTTTTTTATTTCTGGTGCGATGCAGGAGGCATTGGACTATTTTATGAAACAGATGAACGATGCTCACCATGGAGGATGGACCACCAAGATGGACTGGATTTTCCACACAATTCGGCAACACGCGCTAAACTAATGCCTCAAACTCAAACAGAATTGTTTGGTTCCAACATGGAGACTTACTATACTCAGTCAGAAGAAACAAGGAATTGTATTTCCTCCACAGCAAATACACACACTCACTACCTATAGAAGTTTTCACCTCGTCAATTTGAAGCACTTTTTCCTTTTTGGAACGTGGTTCCTGATTTTTTACATTTCCTGTGGCCTATTTGTTGTTATTGTCTACCTTCCTACAAGATCCTGACAATGCCTTTACACTAGCCACCTCTTGTGTTGGAGTCTAAATTAGAGCAATTTCTTCCTGATCCTTTGAAAAAGGATGAAACCTGGATGATGCTTTTTTTTCCAGCCTACTTTTTATTCTTGTACTTACAACTTGAACAACCAAGTAACAGCCAGTCCCTTACTTTGCTGCTCCTGAAACAAAAACAATGCTCAGAGAAGCCTCATCTGCCAAGGTTGCTACAAAGTACATTTAATTTGCAGTTCAGTCATTTATGTGCTGCATATTTGCTCAATATCATGTCTGAGAAGATGAAGGGAACAAGGAACAGTCTTAAGTTATTTTACGTAACACACCTGTCACTCTGATTTGGTTTGTGTGCTCTTATGACGTCTTCCATCGTCTGTGTGAAGACGACCTTCACAGAAGATTTGGCCTCAACTTTTTCTTTTTGTAAAGGCTGAAAACCTGCAGAGATGTGTTTTGAGCAGTTCTTCTGTCTCCCATAGCCTCACCAAATCAGCACCTTCGGAAACACTGGTGGTGTTAGACTCCGCATTAATTTCTGGACGATGATGCCTCTTATCAAAACTGCACTTAAAAATATTAGAGAATTATACAGATTTATTATGACTTTTTACATTTATGTACTTTTTTTTGTCTGAACGAAAACAAAAAATTATATTCAACAACTATCGTTTATGTAAATATGTTTGTATTTTTGTGTTTATGTGAACATGTAAGACTTTTTTTTTTAGTTTTGTGTTTGTTTTTACAGCTTCTTCTGACAACCATGAGTGAAACTGCTGACCCCCTGTGTTCTGATGAGAGTTGAACTCTTGCTGCTGTTGCCTTTGTTTTTGCTTGTCACTTTATAGGTAAGCGTTTTATTTAGCCTTTGTGGTAGCCAAGCTTGTTTAAGCCCTGCTCTGAATCATTTGGTGAAGCAAACACGAACGACTGAAACACTTTTGTATTTTATGTGCAACGGGACCTATACAGTAAACTTCTCACTGTTTCTTTCAAAGGCAGTGTGGGGCACACGGGAATGCCACGTCTTCCTCTGAACAAAATGTCTTGACGTTACAGCTCTGCTCAAGTCATAGTTTGTATTAACTGTCTGCAAATGAAGCAAGCTAATCATGGCTATCAAGTCAAAAGTAGATTTGTCTATATTGGTGTATTGTTTGTATTTCTGACAGATATTGCCAGATGCAAACACATCTTTAAATAGATTGATTAATGAGAAAATAAAATTAGCCTTTATTGATACATTTTTAAGAAATCCTTTCAGTATTTTCAGTCAGCCAAGTAAAAACATAGTCCCTACACTCTACTTTTTTAAGTCCTGGCATTTCTTTTTTTAAATTATTTTCCCAGATAAATTGCTTGAGCATTTTCCTTGTGCAAAAACGTGACATTTACTGTATATTTCAGTTCCATGATCAGCGTCATGATGAGAGCAATTAAATCATAATTTACTGGGCAACAGAACCACATAATAACTGAATGTGATTCTTTTCCACATAAACCTCCATGATCTGTGTTGGTAATTTTAGAAGGCAGAAAAAGATAGTGGTAACAGATTTATAAAACCCCACTTTAGTGTTGAAAATAAAAATATGTATGCGACATAATTACTCATCACTATTACATGAGTCAACTAAGTCATTTTAATTTGTACAATGTGGCCAAAAGGGAATTTTCATGTAAAATAAAATGGGATTATTTTTATACATATTTGGAATAAAAGTATTATCTGAAAAGCTAATATGAGCATGGACTTTGTTGAGGTAAAGTTTATTTAATACCAGCTTGTTTCTGATAATAAATGTGATACAGAAGATGACTTCAAGCATCTTCATTAGATGAACTAAAAGTACACGCTGAGGAGATAAAGTAGCATTTTTCTTGTCTTAGTGCATCTTCACGAGTACCCAACGTTGTGAGCGTAATTATAATTTTCTTTTTTGTAACCCTACAATGTGAAAGTAAATTGTCGTTTAATTAAGTCTGTCCTTCACCTGTCCATCTGATTGTACTGAGGCCAAAGTTATTTTTGTGACGCGCGTGTGTGATGTCATTTCAGCGCAACATTACTGACCTGAATGTATTTAATGGCTTGTATGAACCATATGGGCACTCATCCTCTGGTTTTTAAACTGGTTTTTGTTTGTTTTGTTTGTTGTTGCCGTCAGACACAGTGCCACAGGAAACACTGCAGACTGTGAGCTGCAAACGATTATTTAGGAAGAAACAGTATGTTGGATACGTACATACTTAAAAAAAAAGTTGCTGTATGCATTTAAAAAATCTAAATGCCTTTTTTGTCCAGGAGAAGAAAGTTTGTCTCGCATGCATGTTTCTCAAGCAGCATAAATAATGTGTGGTGTAAACATTGGAAGCATCATTAAAAGGTTTGTCTGTACAGTTACAGATTTATTTTTTATTTATGATAGGCTTAACATCTGAGTATTAAACATTTTGTGTCCTATTCCCATATGTCCTCCAAATGATTATGGGTGTGTTCGTGTGTGTGCACATGCATTATTTGGTAAGTGCTGCAGAGCTTCATTGGCCGGTCCCAATGAAAAGCCACACTGTGTATGTCCAGAAGTCAGCGTGACAACACTGGCGGTAATGGTTGTAATGGGATCTTTAAATATTTTGTACATTTCTCTCCTGGCATGTTTGTGCCTGGGAATGTAAAAAAAGGACAAAATGTTAGTGTTTGTAGAAAAACATAAACGAGCGAAACTGAAGACTTTTCATATGCTTTTTTACTTGAATTTTCATGAATTGGAAATGCATCTTTTTTTGTTATTGTTTTGAAATGGAGATGTTGAGGATGTTTTTTTTTTTTTTGTACTAATCGTGCAAGTGTTTATAAATTGTACTGTATGGAAGCACTGATGACTGAAGCATTGTGCACAAGTTGTTTCACACCAGTAGTGAATGTTACGGATACTAAAGTCCGGAATTGTGTCAACTCCCACTTTAAAAACCAAGCCAAGTTTTTTAAGATCAACTGACATATGTGTGTGACAAAATACCTTATATCCAATAAAAAAATGTACATCTTAGAAAAAAGCTAAATAGTTCTGACTCTTATCTTTTTTTTTTCCTTTTTAATTATCACAAGACTTAAAACCGATGACGCTGGCTCATAATTGCACTTCCAGCTTGAATGTGAGGATAAACAGTCCATAGGAGATAAAATTACACCGTAAATTGAATTAAAAAGCTGATTTGAAGATGTTCAAATGATAGAGAATATCCCCCTGCATATTAAGTTTCTGAATCTGACTATAATCACAAATTTTGAACAATATTTATGCATAGAATATCACCTTTTTTAAAGGTTGTAACTTGGATTAAAATATCTGTTCCTGTTCATTTACATAGAAGCCAGGGATTTATTTTGTCCACCTGCACAGATATGAGCCTTGATATTTTTTTTATCCTTTTTACTGTTTTGAACTGTTTAGTTGTTGTGTGTGTTTTATGCTTTTTAAATGCACTGAACTGTAAAATGTGTTGTGAACAGACTAAATGTCAAGCGATTTGAACTCATAATTGCAGAAAAACATTTAACTTTGGGTCATTAAGGAAATATCAGAAAGCAATTTATGCAACATTTGTTATTCAATTATAGATCTCTTTGTATGGCTCAAATTCCCTGAAATATAATAAAATCTGTGGATTTGTGTTTTTAAACATTCTAGATGACACTACATTACTGATAAATAATGCACAGCGTTGCCAGGAACTACAACTGAATACTATGTTTGGCCAATGTATTTTTTTCTTCTTCAAACTTGCATGAGATTTTGTGGATGGGTGGAAAAGAGGGTTAATCAATACTCTTTATGACCTTTTTTATTTTTTTTTCCTTAGCATCCATTCATATGTTTCTGAAACATTGCCTTAATTTTGCTCTCTGTCTAGTACATGTATACAAGTAACCTGCATATTTTTCTAAAATGAACGTGTTTTGCTTCACTGGTCAGAGTTGGGATTTGTTTACCCTGTCTGACTGGTCGTCTGTGTTCTGTGAAGATGTACAAATAAAATTTGTTAAACATTCACTTCACTGTTACTCGCTCTTGCTCTGCCCCCACCCCACCGCCACTAAAAGTTTTACACAAACAACTTTAGTTTGAATGAGTTGCAAGAGTTTCTCCAAAGTTTTCACAAGTTGATCCAAGATTTCTAGTGTCCTTTCTCCATCCTTGAAAAAAACTATTTTTTAGATTCATGTGCACACACACACACAAAAAAAACCTTTTATGAGCAAATGTGAAAATCTAGAAATTTACAGTTTTGTTTTAAGTCCTTAGAGCCAAAACAAATTCAAAGCATTTTAGTTTTGCATGTTTTTCTTTTTACATAGATCTTGCATGTACGGTATTCAAAATTTCATCTGGGTAACATTACAGAATATGCTCCTTTTGAAAAATATGTATTACTGTATATTGTATATTCCTGTATACAGGACTAGTGTGCAAGACAAAGACCTAAAAAAATCTGTAGACATAACAGATAAGATTTCTGAATATATATGTTATGACTTAATATACGGTAATTAAGTCGACAGCAGGTCTGTATCACTGAAGGTTCCCTCTACTGACGGCTGTGTGTTTGCATTTGGCGCTGCTGGTTTTTGAACCCGTTTGAAAGGTTTCCAGGGTTTAGATGGGCAGTGGAAAGGGTTGTCATTCACACTGGAGGAGACTGAGGGGTTGGAAGCCGTGATGTCCTCCTCAGACGATTCTTCTTTTGCTGGAGCTTTGAGACCTGACCCCATCTCTGGAGGTAACGATGAAGGTGAAGGGCTTGGAGCAGTCCTGAGGGGAGACCAGCCAGGAGGACGGCGCCTAAGAATCGTCTAAAGAGAAGATGTAGATGAATGAGTACTTACAAGTCCTTACAGGAGATTGACAGTACTACATCATTACTTTGTTTATTTTTTGGTGGTTTATTTTTGACACAGCAGAGCTTTAATATCTTTTATTTTAGAAAATATTTATTTCCACCTAGCGTTTTGCTTGTTTTGAAATGGAAATAAAGTTTTCGGCTGTTGTATAAAACATCACTCACCATTGGAGGCAGTGTACCTGGCTCACATTGTGTATGAGCCTCGGGCTGCTCAAATCTCCATGGTGCTATATCCACAGTAGCGTTACAGTTAACAAACTCCTGAAACGCAAATAAAATACTCCATCGTAACCACTTCAATTCAGCTGGATTCAGTTGTTTTATATTCATTCAGATATGTGTTGAATCTGTATTTACCAGATTCTCTTCATTAGGAACACACAGGTCGTTCAGATCTTTGTGTTCCTCCTTGGTGCAGTTGGTTTTCTTCATATCAAATCTTATCTTGAACCTGAAACCTGCAATCACCTACAGAAACAATGTATAAAGCATATAGTTTATATGAAACACACTTGAAATTCGCCATTTGAAGGCCAGAGGAGGACAGCTTGAACACCTCTACACAACAACAGGACTCACAATTCACTCTGCCCATATTCTCCACTACAAGAACACCCTGTCAGCTGGGTGCCAAATCACAGTGTTACACATATATTATAGTACAGGTGACAGGAAGACACTTTTCTCACTGGCAAACAAAACACTTCATCCACTACTCATTTCCCCCGCCCTTCAACTCTGCCAATAACTGTTACTTTATTAAGTCATTTTTCAATAACAAGATTGACAATATCCACCAGCATCTACCCACTTACACTGTATGTAGCCTGCCCATCCCTGTTTTTCTACCTCCCCCTTCCACTAACTCTTGAGCTTCACTCTTTTTTCACATGTAGAAATATCCCACCTGATCTGAACATCAAAACCTGACAACTTGATCCCCTTCCAACTACACTTGTTGAAGCGTCTGTTCTCTCCCTTATCCCATTATAATAAAATTAATTGTTCATTCCTCGCTCATAACTAGTACTGTCCCATCATTTCTTAAAACAGCTGAAGTAACCCCTATCCTCAAGAAACCCGTATCAGACCTCAGTGACTTCAGTAACCTTCGACTCATCCAATCTCTCATTTCTTTCTAAATTTTTAATAAAAACAGTTGCTTCCCACAACCATGCCCACCACTCCAACAATAATTTATACAAACACTTCCAATCTAGCTCCCACCCACTTCACAGCATGGAAACGGCTCTTACCAAAATCAGTAATGACCTCTTCACAGCTGCTGACTCTGTGCTCCTCTCAATCCTCATCCTCCTTGATTTAAGTGTCACATTTACCATCTCACACACCATCCTCATTGACAGACTTTCACATTGGTATTTGAATAGAAGACCCCTTAACTGGTTTATTTCATACCATTCTGACTGCTCACAGTTTGTTAAATTAAAATTATTTACCTCTCATCCAGCCCTTCTCTGTTCCGGTGTTCCACAAAGCTCTGTCCTCGGTCCACTCCTTTTTATCATCTACCTTTTCCACTTGACAATGTCTTTTGAAAACATCCATCCTTCCATCCATCATCTTAACCTGCTTATTCCTTTTCAGGTCATGGGGGTCACTGGTGCCCTTATCCAGCCATCATTGTGCGAGAGGCGGAAGACACCCTGGATAGGTCACAAGTTTATCACAGGGCCACAAAGAGACAAACGAGACAAACAACTATTCACACTCTCACTCACACCTAGGGACAATTTATCCATCCATTCATCCATTATCTTCATAATATCCAATTTCACCGTTAAGCGGGTGAAAACCAGTTCAATCTGTCCACCACCCCCACCTCCACCCTCCCACCCATTACCTCCCATTATCGTTGCCTCACTCTCTGATGAAATCAAATTCTGGTTCAGCAGCAACTTTCTCAAACAAAATAGTAACAAAACAGAACTTCTCATAGGCACTAAATCCACCTTTGCAAAACCCAGCAACTTTTCCATTCTCATCGACAGCATCTCAATGTTCTTCAACGCTCAGTTCTGGGTGTCATCCTGGACATGTTATCATTTAAATCCCATATTGGTAATATCGCTTGTTCAGCCTACTTCCATCTCTGTAACAATTCTTGTCTCCGTCCATCCCTCTCACCCAACAGTACTGCTAATTTGGTGCACTCTGGTCACATCTTTTTTGGTTTACCTACCAAATCCACCCATAAACTGGTCCAAAATTCAGCCGATAAAATGATTTCCAGAACCCCTTCCACCTGCATATTCAAATTCAATTCAATTCAAAAATACTTCATTAATCCCAAAGGGAAATTATTTTGTTGTTATAACTCGTTATCCTCATTTCATTAAGAGATGTTATAGATACTGATGGCTGTAGACAGGAAGGATCTCTTGTAAAGGTTCATCCCACAGTGGATCCTAAGAAACTGGCTGCAGATGCCGTCCGATCCGCCCACCCAGACTCAGCTGGCCCCTCGGTTCCCCTGGACTGTAGGACTGCCTGAATGCTGGGCAGAACTCCTCCCATAGCGATGGCCACTCCTCCCAGCAGTCTGCCGAGCTCCTCATAGCTGTGGACAGCCAACTGCAGGTGCTGAGGGACGATCCTGTCCTTCCGCTGTCGTGAGCCGTGTTTCCTGCTAGTTCCAGGATCTCAGTGGTCAGGCACTCGAGCACAGCTGGCAGATAGATGAGAATGCGTCCACATAACATCCTTTTCAACTCACTTGAGAGTTGGGGCCATAGTTGAGATATTATTTGAGCTTTTGAGATGTTAATCAGCTGCTGTTGTTGTAGAAAACAGCCTTGTTGCCATAGTTACGCATCATAACAAATGTCCAAAACTTAAAAAGTTTCAGTAAAAATCTTTCCGGCTGCACAGCATCTGATACCAGAGGAAACAACAATCCAAAAAATATGATTTACATCCAGAAAAACCAGGAATTAAAGTTTCCAAAAGCAAAATCTCAGAATGAAAGTAACAGAGCTGCTCCAACATGCAGCCACCTTGAGCGGCGCAATTCTAGAACCCCTGTCAATTATATAACCCCTGTCTTCACTGGCTCCCCATTAAATTTTGCATTTCCTACAAAATCCCACTCCTCACCTTCAAAGCCCTCTACAGCCTCACCCCTCAATATCTCACATAACTTTTTCACATTAACATTAGCACACCCACCTACACGCTCAGGTCCTCCTCCTCCACCCAGCTCACCCAACCACCTGTTGGTCTGGCCACTATGAGCTCAAGAACATTCAGTCATTCAACACCTCTCAAATGGAACTCAAAATCTCTCCCACAATCTCCATTCTCAAATCCTGAATCAAAGCTCTCCTCTTTAAACAAGCATATTCACATTAACCCCCTCTCACATGATGTTTAAATTACTTTTTTTTTCATTTATTGTTTTATTCTTTTGTTTTTATTACATTTGTGGGGTTTCCAGTTCCTTCCACATGTTCCTGGTTCCAGAGGCGGAGCCAACAAGCTACAGCTTACAGTCATCCCACTAATTACCTCCAGGACTATAAGAGGCTGCAGAAGTGCTTCATCCAGTGCTGAAGCATTACTTACCTCATGGTATTTGTGCTCTCTGCCTCTTTGTGTAATTTTTCCTTGGTCTAATCTTACCTTGTGTTCTCCTTGGAATTTCACAGAACCTGGTTCCTGCTCCTTCTGTCCAGGATTTAATTGACTGTCCTGTGGACCTTGACTTCTATTCCTACCTGTAAGTACAAAGCCCTCCTTCGTGGATCCTCCCCAGCTGCTCCTCCACTTTACTTGCCTCTACGCTCCACCTGTGCGCTCCTCAGTGAACCTACTGGACTTGAATTCCTCCACCCTCCTCTCGGCACTGCCCTCCTACCGACACTCTGTAAGACAGAAAACCTGAACTACAATATTATTGCTCCTTTCAAGTTTCCTGACCTGCTCTCCTTCCCTTCCAGAAATTTCAATGTGTTCCACCTGTACATAGTGACTCCTTATTTATTCACTGTACATAAGCTTGATCCTTCAGTCAGTTCTTTCTGGGTATACACTTCTGTTGTGACAGCATTTTATATTGTATTTTATTGTAAGTGTCCCTGAGTGCCATGAAAGGCACCTTCAAATAAAATGTTATTCCTAAATGTAGTAATTATCCATCACCCGCCCTACCTGTCTGGTTGCATGGCCGACGGTGTGTAAGGTGAACAGGTGGGTTGAGTTGGACATGGAGTTAAAGTTGGAAATGGATGCAGAAAGAGGAACTTTAAGATCCTCTGAGTTCTCGTGGATTTCCTGAGGGCAGCCCATGCACGGAGCCCTCTCTGGAACAACGTGCTGTTCTGTAAAGAATGAACAGAGCATATTCAGAAAGCCGTGGATCTTCATGAAGCACAAACTGAAAGTACAATAAAAAGGGATGCAAATAGCTCACAATCAAACACAAAAAGTACATTTGCTTTCCCAAACACCAGTTAATTACTGATGGTTCATCACTTAGAAAAACAAAGGACATTTTTCTTGTGGTGTGGTTGTTTTCAGAAATTAAAACCGCAAAGCATTTTTTAACTAACACCCAACATCTCCAACTTCAGTATAAAAAGATCAGCGTAAGTGTATCACTTCATCACTTGTTTTAAAAGTCCCAAGCAAATAAAGCAGAAGAATAATATTTTAATCTGCAAAGGAATTCTCCATGTTGAGCCTCAAACGTTGCTAGACATAAAAGTAGAGGAACACAGAATGTGTTTACTTTACGCCTGCACTGGAACTGATAAGGCAAAAAGATTAAAGTCTACATGCCATTGCTTTCTATGGTGTGAGAGGTCAATATTCTGCTTTTCCTGTTTGCTGACAGTATCAATATATTACACAATCTGTTTCTGCACCCACTGGTGGACATTTTTCTCGTTTACTGTTTTTTTTTATATATGTTAGAACACATAAAGCTAATTACACACTTCAACAGAGTAGATGTTTGTAAGTTTTAGTGCTGAACTTGAAGTTTTGAGTAAAAGTATTTTAAAATGTTTAACTTTATTGACACTGGAGTGAATATAAATACATGTATATTTAAATAACATTTAAATAGATGACAGTAAATTGAATAAAATACTTGAACTGGTCTATTTTACACCGTAGCAGAGTGTAGCTTCACTCTGAAGGAAACGTAATGAACTTTTTTCTTAAGGAAAAATGGATTAGACATTTTTTTTATGACTTTATGCAAATCACCTGGACCTTGGGAGGAAATTCCAGCATCTTTCTCATATGTTTTCACAATACTTTGAATTACTTTTCTGTTGAGCTGAAACTGGCCTGTGCCATCAGAGAAAATAAAATGCAAGAATGGATTAATTCACAACTTTGAGGAGAACCAAGAGAAGAACATCTGATAAAACACCTTTCACCCCCTCCAGCTGTGATCTTATAAAATAAGCTAGCCTAACGAATTTACTCATATTTTAGAGAAATCTTCTTTTTCTCGTGTTTTTTTGCTCTCGGAGTAACAGATGCGTTCTTTTAAAAGGTTTTCCTGCACTTTGTGTAGTTTTGCTTGTTATACATCGTGCAATTAATAATAATAAAATGTTAAAATCCTTCCTTCACTCACCGAAAAAACAGTCCACCTGTTCAGTGTCGGTTTCTGTCTCCGTCATATGGACCGTAGCGTTGCATGAAATCGGTGCCTGAAGGAACAACCAGACAAAGTTCTGAACCTTCAACTGCATCAGCTTTGTTCTCAAGCGTGAGATGGAGTTTTATTTTTATTTGTTTGTCACACGTGGACGTGCAAGAAGAATTTATCAATGGTTTTATGTTGTTACCCTGTGCCCTGGCTGCAGATAGTCACAGTCTGACCAGGGTTTGCTGCTCCCTGCTGAACAATCACTCTTTCTGCTGGTGAACTCCAGAGCGTACATCGAGTCTGAACCGTTCTCTGACTGCAAGCACACACAATCAAAGGTCAAAAGGTCAAGCTTGGTTTTCCAAGAATATTCTCTTCATCGTTTCAGAGCTTTGGTTTAATCTCTAACGACATTGGCAGATTATAGTTTGTAACTAAACAAACTGCAACACTTACGTAATTGGTAACTGTCAAGGGAATTTAGGTAAAGGTTAATGGACGTTTATCAGCAACTGATGTTAAACCGATGTGTGTGAGTTAGAGAGCTTGTCTGCCTGCAGGCTCCTCTCTGAGGAGCACGGAGCATGCACACCTGATGAACTCCAAGTCTGAGTCTGAGCGCTGCACACAGGTCATCAGTCTGTCTGATAAGAATTATAAAAAACACTTCTTTATACTTTCTGTGGCAGATTCTCACTGACGAGGCTCAAAACGTAGTTTTTGTACATCTGTGAAAGCTTCCTCGTGCAAGTAAAGACCAGTTTAAAAACCTTCTCGTGTCCTCAGAGTGACTTATTTGATCAAAGAGATGATGAAAGGATATTTATTTTATCCAACAGTAATACTAGTTTATTCTGACGGTACTGTAATGATCAGTAGCAGCTTATATGAATGTCAGTATTAAATAATAAGCTCATGCTGTCGATTCTCCTGCATTGTTGCAAAGATTGTTTATGTAGAAAACTGTGTTGTTGTTGTTGTTGTTGTTGTTGTTGTACACACTGTACCTTTTTGGCTGACAGTATCTGGAAGAGAGCCAGCTTGTGTCCAGTGGTCAAGCCCTTGTTCAGCGTGTGTAAGGCGCTGCTGACGGCCTGCTCTACCGAGGGGTCGTCACAGAAGATTAAGACGCCATGCTGGACCTCCACAGCATCCTGAGTAACAAGAGAAACAAACAAAAACATATCTAACTTCAAATTCCCTACTTCCCCCCCCCCAAAAGTTGAAAATATAAACATAATAAGTGACATTGACAAGCTGTTATGAAGCTCTTACTGAAATGCTGAACACATGCTCACAAAAGGCATGCTTTTGATTTCAAACATTTTATTTTAATTACTTATTTATACTTAGTTACCATTAGATCATTAGTCATCTGATTCCAAACAAAATGATTTACCTAAAAATAATCAGTTGGCTATATGTGTGTTTTGATTTGAATTTTAATGATGGTTTTATGAAGGTCACCTGCTCCTCAATTTTTTAGTTAAAACAAACTTGTCTTTGCAAGTTGCTTCATTTTACAGGCCACAGAAATTTAAAGATGGGTTTTGTCAGCGTATAAAAATGATGATCTACATTTGTTGCAGTTAGATTTTTTTATTTATTTCAGTAGTACAAAAACAACTAGACATGTTCAATTACCTGCCATGTTTAAATATAGTTTAAATAATTGAACATTCCTCATATTTAGAAGTTTGTGCTACTATTTCACACAAGCAGCAATCATGTATTTTTTAATTAATAACTAAACTTATTCTGCTGATTGAAATTATGTTTATCATCACAGTTAAAGTATTGCCAAAGACTTTTTGTTTATCTTTTTATCATTTTTTCTGCTAAAACTTCAAACTTTTCTTAAAACCAATTAATTTTTATCCGAGTTAATGACCTTAAAGCTTATTTGAACACTTCTGCAATCTTTGATTTGATTTGGTTTAAATGGTTGTGGTTTGAAAGCCAGAACGAGTCCAGATGTTTGATGTTCGCTTCTTACCTGCCCGGACCCAGAGCTGCAGAGGCTCAGCAGGCCCAGAATGAACAGCCGTACTCCGCTCCTCATCATCTGATCTGTTCAAAGCTCGACTCTGTTCTTCTATAAATCACAGAAAAAAATAAAATAAAATCAATGCTAAGGAACAGTTAATTAAACTCTGTGCAGGTTGTGTGCAAATAACGGTGCAGAGATAGCCAAATAGCTTTTACACTTCTCATTTGTGCATGAAAAACAATCCGTCCAAACACATTATCTTTCTCACGAAGCCTTTTGAGTGGCTGCTTACAGTTTGTGAAGGTGGAGGCCGGCCGACAATCCTGCTGGATGGGAGAGGAAGGACTCGACTCCTCTACACTCTGCGGACCGAGTGAAATTCTCCTGAAACTGGTTATCCTGAGAAAGATTATGATAAACAAAGTGGCTCATGCACAGTGGACAGGGGGGCACAGAGGACACCCCACACACACACACTAATGCGCACAGACGGTAAGAGAGTAAATGTTTGCCCTCCTACGTGACGAGTCAATACATCAGTATCTGAGGCAAAGAGAACATGAAATGAGACGCAGCAACGTCTTCATTACGTTCTGAGAAGGTGAAGACATCAACAATAACAAAATACAAAGATGGAGTTCTTTCATGCTGATTGTCACGTTACAAATGTACAAAGTACTTTCTAACTTTGTTTATTGGCCACATTTTGGGTAATCAATGTTTTGTGTGTGCTTTAGGCAGTACTTTGTCCCTGTCGACCTTTGGCCTCAGGCGTTCTGATTTCCCCACCGATTGTCCATCAGACGAGCTAACCTGTGCTCAGTTTCACCAGATCAATACGCACCGGATCAACTTTACAGTCTGCAGATTAACAAACCGCTTCCATCTTCTTTATCACTCACTTTTGTACAAACACTATTACGTCGTTCATGCAACAATAAACGTAATAAACAATTCTGCTGTCTTGTGGGACTCCTCCACTTAAAATTTGAACTTTTCAAGTCATGAGATAAATACAAGACAGAAACAACAATATTTAAGATGCACATCTAACAGCTGTAAATTTCACTGTCATTTAGGCATCAGAGAACCACGGAGAAGGTTCATGGAAGGAGGATCTCAGAGGGTTGTTGTGACGGAGGACGATGGAAACAAATGATCTGCTGTGATGACCCCTAAAGGAAACTTGATTAAAACTCAACAAGTGATATTTCTTCAAAGCTGTGTGGGGACGTCTGCGTCAGTGCTGAGAGCTTCATTCTTGCGATGCGTCACTTCTTACGCCTGCAAGTAGCTGTTCTCACTTTGATGAGTCAAACCTCAGCTGCTGCACTTCCTTTCAGGCCGTCTCTTTCTTTCAGCCATGGTGCACAAGCATCAGACGAGTGGATGGTCCGTCTTCTTCTTAGCTGCTTTTATTCCAGGTAAGATGGAAGATGTTCACATTTTATTTCAACTTCAGTTTATGATTTGACATTAGTGAACAGGTCTTTGTGTCTTTGGTTTCAAACATGTAATGTAAAGACAGACATTTTACACACCTGCAGTGGACGTTTCTCCCCCTCATGACCCAGTCCAGCAGACAACATTTTAAATCTGTAACTTTTGTATTTTTTATTACAAATGCTTGCAAGGCCCTGCATAATCAACTCATGTTTTATAAAATATTACCACACAGATTCATTTTAAATGTTCTTAAAATATCACATTTATTTATAATTGTGCTGTTTATAACGTCTGTTTTGCACACTTCTGTCTGTGATCACGACAAACAGGAGGCGTTTCCTCTCCTGCAGCGATCGTTGGTTCAGAGGTCGTCAGTGGTCTCACTTTTGTTCATCCTCACTCTGTGGGTTTGGTGTGATCATGAATGCAACCCCCTTTTTTTTAAACCACAACTCCAGTTCACAAAATGTCAAATGTCACACAACTTTGGCAAGGAGGGGAAAAAAAGGCATTAAAAAAAGCAAGATGTTGAATTAAATCTTGTTTGCATACATTTTTTTTTTTTACTGTTTTTGTACTTTTTACATGTTCCTTTTCAAAAGCGTGTGAAGATCTTTGCTGCTGCGACACTTTTCCTGCAGCAGCCCCCAAAAGTCCTGAGTCAACCCAAACAGACCTTTGCAACAAAAAGATAGAAAACGTGAACGCAGGCTCGTCCTGCAGGACATATTCATCAGCTCCAGCTTTAAGAACTACAGAGTGCTGCAGCACGGCTCTCTGAGTATCACCCCATGATACAATTATATTTTAATAAAATTACAATCTTATAATTTCAGATAAACAGATTACATTCTCCACTGTATTCCATGTGGGTTCTCTTCAATCCACCCGAAGCTTAAACATTTAAAAAGCACGAAAAACAATTTGCATTTTTTTATTTTTATGGAATTTAAACAACAAAAATAAACACACATTGAGTGTTTCTCAGTATGGTTTACTTTTTAATCCTAATTATATGTTATATTATTTGTTATAATTATAGTTATATGCTTATAACAAAACCAAATTTACACAATGCCCTGCATATTATTATATATATTATTATCCAATTACAATTGTATGTATATGTTGCCAGTCTTGACCGGGACATTTACAAAAACATGGTTAAACTGGATTACAATAATAATAATAATAATAATAATAATAATAATAATAATAATAAAACCTTTTGCAGTCAGGTATGTTCTGGGAACGTTTGTGCTATATATATATCTTTCAGATCGGAGACAATGTGTTCAACATAATGGTATTTCCTCCTGTTATTTAACAGTCAACAATGGTGTACAACAAGGCTCAGTCTTAGGACACACCCTCTTTACAATCTACATAGGTAATATAGGTCAGACCATCCCTGGTGCATCCATACATTTCTATGCTGATGACACAGTTGTTTATTGTCGAGCTAAAACAGTTAATAAGGCTTACTAGTTTTTGCAATCCGCTTTCAACATCATCCAGTCAGATTTGTTCCGTCTCAAACTTGTCTTAAATGCTGATAAAACCAAAGGGATGCTTTTTTCAAACAGGAAGTCGGTCCCAGCAGTTCTTCCTCTGATTTTATCCTCCAATGGTGTCCCGATTGAGTTTGTCAATTCCTACAAATATTTGGGCATCTTGGTCGATTCGCATCTCTCTCTAAGCTCCATGTGGAAAACCTAGTAAGGAAACTGAAAGTTAAACTGGGTTTATTTTTCAGAAATAGATCCTGTCTAACTCTGAATGCTAGGAAACACCTTGTAACTGCAACTTTCCTTCCCTCCATTGACTACGGTGACATTATTTACATGAACGCCCCTACAATCACCCTGCAGTTGCTGGATGCTGTCCATCACGGCGCGCTAAGATTCATAACTGGCTGTGATTATCGTACCCACCACTGCACCCAGTATTCACTGGTTAACTGGACATCATTAACTTCACGCAGACTCTCTCACTGGTACATATTCATCTTTAAATCACTTCTTGGTCTGCTGCCTTCATACATCTCCTCCTACATGTCTCTGCGTGAGTGCAGCTACAGCGTGCGCTCTCAGGACATTATTATATGCAGTGTTCCCTCAGTGAGGACTGAACTAGGCAAAAGAGCCTTCTCCTACTCCGCTCCTGTTTCTTGGAACATCTTGTAAAAAGATCTGAAGCTCTCGACCTTTGACCTCTCTAAGTGACTTTAAAACTCTGTTAAGTTCATGGGAAAAGCAGCGCAGACATGTTCCTGTTTTTAGTATTTTACACTGCCTTATAAGCTAGCTGTCTTTTCACTACTTTTCCTTTTGTTTATCTTTTTAAATACCATTTTATTTTCACTTGTTAAAAAAATATTGTACACATCCTTTATGATTGTCTATTGTTGTTGTTGTCCACTGTTGTCATCACTCTTTGTTAAAAATTCATGTCTCTCTTGTAAATGAGTCTCCGAGGCTCAATGGGATTAACCTGTCTAAATAAAGGTCGAATGAATATATAGTAGAGCCAACATGATTATTATTTGTTGCACCAAGATGACAAATTTAGGTCTTGTTATTGTAATATTTATGAACAACGAGTTAAACCGGCTGATGTCCAACAGGTTTCCACCTTCTGAGAAATGACAGCTTCATCCAGCCGGAGTCCAACTCTGAGCTGTCTTCTGATGCTCACGTCCATCATCCTGTCCTGCAACCCACTGAGACCATTCCCACACCTGGTACACACAAACACAAAACATCATGACAAACTGTGCAGATTAATCCAAAATGTGCTCAAATAAATCAGTTTCCGATAAGTGGGGGGGTATTATTAGTTGCAAAACAGTTTGCTTTACATGAATTTGTTAGAAAAAGTGATTTAATTTGTTTCCCAACTGATATTGTTCATGTTGCTCAAAGTTCACGTTCCATTTAGTTTTTGATGCCGTGAGTTTGTTGTTTGTTCAGGAACCTACACGGTGGAAGACGGTGATGGCAGAACGTGCATAAAAGTCACGATGGGAGCAGAATTCATCATCATCGAAAAGAAGGTCAGACTCTGAGAGACTCAGCTCGTTTGTGTTTCCTGCAGGAGCATGGTTGGTTTGTGAAAAGCATCTCCTGTGGGATTTTAGTGGGCATCAATTTTCTAAAACTTTTTATGGAAACATTTTTTGTGAGGTGTCAAAAACTGTAGCAGTTACTAACTTTATATGTTTTTATTATAAAACACAGAAGAAGGATTATCTAGATGTTTTTAAATATAAAACAATGTTTCAAAGTTTTAGTAATATTTCTCTCCTTGTACATTTAGACAAGTTGGTATTTCAACCTGGAGCCGTCTGTGGTTAAAACTCTCGGTTACTGCGACAAAGAAGAAGCTCATCTTTCTCTAAGGTTGCCAGATAATTCTGCCGGTCTGCAGTTCACCTTCAGAAGGGTAAATAAATGGAATCACATCATAGACACATTATGGTTATGTGAAGATGATACTCAGGATCCATCTGAGTAAAATGCTCAGGTTAAACTATTTCAGATTATTTCTCTCTAAGCCAGTTTGAATTATTTCATTTTATATCTACAGGAAAAACAAAACTTTTATGTTGCTGAACTAACGGCTCACTTGTTTCCTCATCCAGCTTGCAATGGATGCCCCAGTAAGAAAAACACAAGTTTTACCTCAAATAAATAAACAAACAAACAAAAAGTAAAAAAGGATAATAAAAATCTTTCTGTCACACTTCTCCTCCCTCACAGATAAAACTTATTCTGGGTCGATGACCCACAAGCAGCTTTTCAAAACAGCCAATGATCAGAGTTTCAGATGCCAATCAGAATATCTGCTTTTGGTTTCTTCGGAGCTGAAGATCAAGCTGGTTCCTCTGCAGATACAGGCCTTCAGCATCCCCAGTAGACAGAATGGTGAAGGTGGGTGAACTGGAAACTTAAGTGAGATGATCAAAAGGACAGCAAGGCCAGACAAAAATATGTTGTTGTACAAGGGAAGTTGAAGCCTTTTGTAACAGTGAAAAAAACATTTTCTTTCAAAAATAAAACGATTTTTTGCTCGTTGATTCAACTATGTTGAACAATGCACAACAACAATGTTTTAACTGGTTCATCACTGTTTTTAGTGCACATTAATAAAATCAGTAACAATGTAACACAAAAAAACTTACATGAATAAACTCCAAAAAAATTTGTTTTTTTTAAATAACTTATTTTGGTTTTTATTTTGTTTGTTTCAGAAAACGAGTGTTGGGCTGATTATAAGAAAAGAGTCATTCCTTTAATCACTGGCTCCGTTGTAGTCGGTCTCATCCTGTGCATTTTGTTGAGTTTCCTCATCATCAGAGATCACCGCAGAGGATATGAAAGGCTGTGATCATTACATTAAACTGGAGGTTTTCTAATGTGGTTTCATATGATCACAGATACCAGTACGTTACTCATAGCTCTGTAATTTACTGTCCTTGCATTTTATTTATTTTTTAAACACGTCTTTTTAAACGTTTAAATTGTTTTAGAATTTTTTTTAATTGTTTGTACTTTCTTAGTTACAAACAATAAATAAATAATAAAGAAAAATGTTACTTTACTCTGCCTTCTTGAGTTCAGTCCAACCACTCATTCATATAGGCTATTTAATAATACAAACATCAATGACTCATCTGAACATTACTGTGCCACTAACACCACACTAAATGATGCATACACATTAAAAGACAGTATAAAGGGATTATTAGGCTCATTTGTGACTATCAAACCATTTGAGCTGCATCTTGTAACGCATTTAACAATGGTTAAAAAAACAAAACAAACAATCAATGAATCCCATGGGGATTCAAACTTTTTATTCTTCTTCGAAGAGCATGAGTGTTTCTTTGGTTCCCTCTTGTGGACAACAAGAGAACTGCAAATACAAATAAAAAAATCAGATGTCAAAACAAAACACTAATACAATTTGATAGGAAGATAACAGTTTATATTTATTCGTAATATTTAACTAAAAATCTGATTGTTTGCAGTTTTATTTTAAACGACCATAATGGGATGATTCGTTTAAAATTAAGACATGTACTGTAAACGAAACAAATAATGTAGCGTTGTCGCCCTCTAGCGGTCATATACAGGAACAGCACTCTTTGTAATGTCCAGTACAAAAGTGTTTCAGGTTTTACATCAAAACTTTTCTTTTTCTTTTTAATTTTTTTTAATTTTCATAAAATGTACTTTTTGTAACAAAATTCCGTAACATATTTCGGATTTATTTTCGTGTATGTTTTGCGCTTATTATTGTCTGTATATATTGTCTGTCTAAAACAGGTCTTTATTGAAAAGGAGTCCTCGTGACTCATTGAAACTAACCTGTATAAATTAGGATTGAATTAAAATTTTATAGTTTATTTGAAGATAAATAAAACACTTGTTTTTTTCTGTGGATTCAAACTCTGGTCTTCCATTAATGAGAACTTTGCCAATTCCGCTATACGAAATTGTAATGCTCTTTTGACAACAAATTACACTATAAAAATATTTACAATCATTATTAAAGTCATTTGTGTGAACTAAACCGTGTGAACTGTTAAATTAAAGGTAAGACGGAAGTACAACTAAGTTATTTTCTTGTCGTTTCACTCTTCTTTGATAATGGTGGTGTGTCTTTGCTGCCCTCTTGTGGACATGATGAGCATTGAAGGATGATTCGTCTAAAAATGACTGAGAAGAACGTAAAATGTGACGTTTCTGCCCTCTAGCGGCCATAAAGAGAATAGCACGTAAGAATATAAAGTGTGCGTCAATATTAGCATATTTAATTCCGAATAATAATTTTTTGGGGTATATGTTGACAAGCTTGAAAAAATCTAACTCCTTAAATCTTCTTCAATCTGAACTGTTTTGGGCAGATTAAAGCAAATTCATTCAGCACTTCATTTTTGCTGAAAAACACCACTTCCTCGGTTTTACGTTCAACTATTTTTTTTTGCGTCGTCTCCTTCAAATTTAAACGTTCTGCCCTCTCGTGGTAATAATCTGTAACTGCAGCTTCTTCTCTTTTTTCTGATTGGTTAATTGCTACTACGGGTCCTCAGTGAGGTCAAGAATGATAATAAAGCTAAAATAACGAAATAAACGTGTTATGTCTGCGCTTTCTTTTTTTACAGTTTAGTCTCACAGGTTTCGCTTGTTGATTGAGGATAAACTTTTTAATCTACTGGCGAAGAACCAGACTGTAAATCTTGTTGTTCAAATTACGGCTTCGCTTTTTCTCTCTCGCCTCCTACTTGTCAGACTTGTTAGCATCGCTAGCAGCTCGTATTCATGGCTGCTGTTATTCTGAGTTTTCCAACGCTGCAAGGCCTAAGGATATTCACACAGTGAGTACAAAACTCTGACAGATGATTTTTGTGTCAGAAAACGGGCATTCGTCCACTGTTTCAATGCTTTCTTAGCTCAGTTTTAGCGTTAGCTTACAAGTTTGTAAGCAGTTCACCTCCTGCGTTAACTACTAATTTATTTAACTGTGACCATTACCTTACTTACACACACAAAAATGCAATTGTCCCCATTGTAAATCTAAATATAATTTTGTCATTTTTTATAGCAGGAGGTAGAAGATGATAAAATCTGAGCAAGGTCAAATAAGATAGCAGGTCTTACTTTTGAGACATTATTTGATTTGTAATTTGCATCATAGTTACGCGAATCAGCGTCTTTTTCTCTGTAATGCGAATATTTTACACGTGTCCAATCTCTTATAACTTGTTGAACTGTAAAGACACTAAGGGTGCATTTTCCTCTCTTCAGAAAACTATCATGGACCAAAAGAGGTGTGCGGCTTGTTTCAGGAGGAGGTGAGTAAATTTATTATGACTGATTTTTGTGTTGGAGTCTCTTATTTGAATATCTGATGACCGTGTCTTAATTTAAAAAACACAGTATCTGAGTAGTGTGACAAATATATAAAAAATGTTATTACAATGACTTTAACAGTCATTTGTTCAATTGGAACAAATGACTGGTAGGAAAGGTCTACCTTTTAGACAAATGTAATATTTGTTGCATCAGATAACTGTTTTCATATAGACCTAATTATCTTTCAACGTAATAAATGCTTGCTAGTAAATTTTGCTCACTACAGATTCATGCAGACATTTTTCATTCTGATGGTGGAAAGCATCAAGTCCCACCTGTCCTAAAAGAAGTTAACTTTAAGTGCGTTTACTGTAACGTCAGTTTAGCAAGAGAGGTCTTTGCAATAAATGTATTGAGCTTTTGATTAAAACCAATCTCTGCAGGGGTGGGAAGGATAGAAAAAGTTCTGATTGCCAATCGTGGAGAGATTGCATGCCGTGTGATGCGTACGGCGAAGAAGATGGGTGTGCGTTCTGTGGCGGTGTACAGCGATGCAGACAGACACTCCATGCATGTGGCCATGGTGAGACACTTAGTGAAATATTCTCATTACTCTCTACCTTCTTTGGTTGCATGTGTGCCACACAGATCTGTGTTCATCGTTCTCCTGAACAGAGTGAGGCATCGTGATCTTAAACTGTTCTTCTGCTTCGTGTTCTGTAGGCAGATGAGGCCTACCACATCGGGCCGCCTCCTTCCCAACAGAGTTACCTCTCAATGGAGAAAGTTTTAGAAGTGGCCAGGAGGTCAGGATCCCACGTGAGTAACACAACAAAATAATATTTTACTTTTGACTAAACGACTCAGGCAACTTTTTCTCCTTAAAGTCATAAAGAACTTTTCATCCTCCCATCTTTTTTAAATTTTATTTATAATTTCCACCTTTCTCTTCATTAAACGTTGCACATTTGTGTTTACAGGCAGTCCATCCTGGTTATGGCTTCCTGTCAGAAAACACAGAGTTTGCAGAAGCTTGTAAAAAGGAAGGAATCATCTTCATCGGACCGCCTTCTTCGGCCATCCGAGACATGGGCATTAAGAGGTGACCCACCTTCCTAAGACACATATTTTTGAGTTTTTCTGTTCAGGACTGAGTGTCTTTGCAACTGTAGACATTTTCTCCAAAAGTTATGATGAAAGTTTATTTATTTCTTGTCTCAGCACATCCAAACACATCATGTCAGCTGCTGGGGTGCCAATCATAGGTGGTTACCATGGAGAGGACCAATCAAACGAGAGGCTGCAGGCAGAGGCTGCAAAGATTGGCTATCCTGTGATGATCAAGGCAGTCCGTGGAGGAGGAGGGAAGGTGAAAAGGCGCAGAAAAAAACCCTGAAATAACTTTGATAACATAACTTTTATGAGCTTGATTAAACCTTGCATGTTTTAGGGAATGCGCATCGCCCGGTCAGACTCAGACTTCATCGAACAGCTGGAGTCAGCGAGACGTGAAGCCAGGAAGTCCTTTAATGATGACGTCATGCTCATTGAGAAGTTTGTAGAGGATCCCAGGTACGCTCAGAGCCAGGCTGGACTGATTTGGTCTTTGAAGGACTAGTGAGTTTACAAATCTCTCACTGTGTGTTGTTGGCAGACACGTAGAGGTTCAAGTGTTTGGAGACATGCACGGTAACGCTGTCTATCTGTTTGAGAGGGACTGCAGCGTCCAGCGGAGACATCAGAAGATCATAGAGGAAGCTCCAGGGGTGAGTGGAGTTCACAGATGTTTACGCGTGCTCAATAATCCAGGTAGAGGAATCTAAAAAAGTTAAGTCTGGTCCTCCAGACTGAAGAAGTCTTTCGGATGAAAGATGAAGCGTTTCTACAATTTTCTTTTTTTGCTGTTTTGCTTTTGTTTTTTTGAATGTCCAGAGGACCAGACTTAACTTTTCTAGATGATGGAGTTCATGTCAGTTTGACACGGTTTAACCAAAACAGAGGGTTTATCTTCAGCATCTTTGCCACATGATACATTTTAAATAAAAAGATCCTGACTTGAAGTTGAGGTGCTTTTTGTGACGTAATCCTTCCATCATTGTGTAATTGTGACATTTTTTCTTGTTATTTGTTTTTAGTCCCGTTAATTATTTGAGTAAAATCACGATTTAAATGCAGGCAGCTTTTTTGTGGTCAGTGAGGCTTCACAAGCGTAAAGGATCTTATGTAGCGTTTTATTTTTAAGCTTTTTCCTTGAATCACAGCAGGTTACTAACACCTTCTTCACCTGAGATCTAAATTATGTGGATTTATAGAAACAGATCACTTGTGAACATATTTGTCCTTTACCTTCCTTCATATTTCCACCTGGACTTTCTCAGCCTGGGATAAGCCCTGAGGTTCGGAGGAAACTTGGAGAGGCAGCTGTCAGAGCAGCTAAAGCTGTGAGCTACGTTGGAGCAGGTGAAGACACACAAAGCTAAACTCATCCCACCACAGCAACTTATTACACATGCACGCACGCACGCACGCATGCACACACACACACACACTACAAATGTTATGATCTATTCCTGCAGGTACTGTGGAGTTTATAATGGATGCTCAGCACAACTTCTACTTCATGGAGATGAACACGAGGCTGCAGGTGGAGCATCCCGTCACCGAGATGATCACTGGAACCGACCTGGTGGAGTGGCAGCTCAGGGTGAGACGGAGAGCTGAAAACTCTCTGGAAACCATAAATTATACTAAAAGTTTAGTTTATTTTTGAATAAAAATCTCTTCCAGGTGGCAGCAGGGGAGCCCCTGCCCCTCCTCCAGGATGACATCAACCTAAGGGGCCACTCTTTTGAGGCTCGTATCTACGCCGAGGACCCAAACGACGACTTCCTTCCAGGAGCGGGTCCTCTGCTGCATCTGTCCACACCTTCAGCAGACCAACACACACGCATAGAGACTGGGGTCAGAGAGGGTAGGGAAGAAATGATCGACAGTCTCGTTTTTTTTATACATTTTCCAACGTCACACCGTACCACTGTAAAAGAAGAGACTGAGAGAAACGTATAAAACAGGAAGTGTTACAGCTGTGTTTAAATACAGGGGATGAGGTTTCTGCCCATTACGATCCAATGATTGCCAAGCTGGTGGTGTGGGGGGAGGACCGATCTGCTGCCTTAAAGAAACTGCGCTACTGTTTACGACAGTATAACGTAAGAAACTCGTTTTATTATTTTATTTTATTATTTTATTATTATGCTCCACATTTATTACAGAATGCTGTTGTAGCTCCAGCGTTCCTCTCTATTCTGTCACGTCTTCAGATCGTGGGTCTCAACACTAACATAGACTTCCTGCTGAGCCTCTCGGGTCACTCGGAGTTTGAGGTTGGAAACGTGAGTACCAGTTTCATCCCTCAGCACTACGCCGACCTCTTCCCCGCTCCGAGAACGCCATCCGGGGCAACGATCTGCCAGGCCGCCCTGGGCCTGGTGCTGCAGGAGAGGAAGCACACGCAGGAGTTCACACAGACCTCCGCAGGTCAGGGCGTCGGGGTAGTGCCACTGAAAGATGAATAACTGCGCATGATGTGTGTGATTGATTCATTTATTTATTTATTTGCCCTCAGATCCTTTCAGTCCATTTGGTTCCAGCAGTGGTTGGAGAAATAACATCCAGTTGAACAGAAATATGATCTTACAGCTGGGAGACGAGAGTAATACACACACACATGCACATCATTAAATTAGCTACACAAGTGCAATGTTTTGACTGTTGTGCAGATTTGTAGACGTATACTGATGATCTGATGAGATTTAATGAAGCCGACGGGTTTTTTGCAGTGCGTTGGACAGAATGTCTCTCTAGGACTAAAACAATGTCCGTCACCTCTTGATTTGTGTTTGTGATGATTCAAAACAGATTTTGAAAACATTTCCCCTATTTTATTTTATTTTAGAAGTCGATGTTGTCATCACGTACGATTCGGACGGAAACTACAGAATGCAGGTTAGCCGGAACGTTTACTGGATTTATTGAACGTCTGATTATGATACAAATGATGACTGCTGATTTATTGTCATGTTTATATTTTAGTGCAGTTATTAGGAGTGAATTGTTTTTTCTGGTGTGTTTTTATTTATAGATTTTCATTATTTATAAAATGGTAAAAGACACATTAAATAACTGGAAGTGGTACAATACAGAAATTTTATATTTATATAGAGTTCAGAATTAGAGAGCAGTAAATGAATTTAAAGGTCTAAATGCCAATCATTTGTATTTTTAATAAATGCTTTTTGCAACTTACCTCTTGACTCTAACTGCACAGTCACACTTTTACTAATAAAAAGTTTTATACCAGACAATTTGAAATGATCAAATAAAAACATACTAAGTGAACTGTAGTGTTTATTAAAGCAATTGCCGACTTATAAAATAGCTTTTTTTTCTAATTAGTTTACATAATGCCGTTCGGTTTATAAAAACTATCATAAGAGTGATGTTCTTTTGCATTTTACTTTGTTTAAATTCGTCTCTTACTATTTTACCTGAATAGGCCTGGGTGTAAACGCTCTTGTTTCAGGTTGGTGAGGAGGTCTACCACGTAACGGGGCAGGTGGAGGTGGAAGGTGGAGCTACGTTCTTGCACTGTTCAATAAACGGAGTGAAGTCACGTCCCAAACTGGTGATCCTGGACAACACAGTGCATCTGTTTTCCCTCGTAGGTTTCTGCTCAAAACAAACAAACAAAAAAAGCTTATATATTGTTTTTTTTTAAAGTACATAGTATATTTGGCCCAGACATGTTCCTTACAGATCAGGGATCCTAAAAGTCTGTTTGAAACCTTTTTAAATGTGCCGTCAGCTGCTGACTGAACATCTGTTCTGCAGGAGGGGAGTCACCAGGTGTCTGTTCCAGTACCAAAGTATCTGGCTGGTGTGAGTGGGACAGGAGCTCAGGGGGGAGCTGTGGCCCCCATGACTGGAACCATCGAGAAGGTGAAGATGATTTAATGGGTTTTATTTTTTTATTCCCAAAGCTGGTCTAAAGGTGTTCCCCATTCTGACTAAATGAGGCGATTCATTCCACATCTCTGATCAGATTAGGCAGTTATGCTCAGTTTTAAGAGAATTAAAAAAAAAAAAAAAGCTAAAAATGATTTCAACTGATAATTGTTTTGGTGAAGAGAGAGCTGGACCAGAAGGCCTGTCTGTTGATTTGGTTTAATTTCACTTATCTACAACAATTTACCCTCCCACCCCACAATCTTATAAAGGTTCACGCGAGTCGTTTATTTTAGCTGCAGCTCCATGCGACCTGGTCTCAGCTGGTTCTTGACACTGAGGAGCAGCTTGTGTTGGACTGCATTTGTTGATGCATTCTGAGCAACATCCTGTTGCAAAAGGCCATGTTACATATACTCAGTGCATGTAGGTGTCTGATAAAAGGTACTATGTTGTAAAGTTTAAATAAACAGCATGTATCTCACCTCAGCTTTATAACTCGAACCCCTCACTCTCTGCTCTTTGAATTGAGAAAGCTTCTCGGATGAGAAGCGAAACGTCTCCTGTTACAAATAAAGTCCAGTTGTTTTTTGTCTTGAACTTTATAAAATCCAGTTGTTTTTTGTCTTGAACTTTTTAAAATTAAATAAACTGCTTAATGTGTATGCTGTACTTTTTTTAAGGTTTGAGTTGTTTTAAATGGCATAAATTAGTTCTTAAAGGCCCCTCTTTTTAGAAGCTGTTAGCTTAACTCTTTCATGTTGACTTCTTTAAACAGTCGCTCTGACTGCCATCTACTGCAGGTAAGACGCAGACTATTCCTAGCAGCTCCACAGAAACCAACTACTAAAATAAATCTGAAGTATTTTCTTTAAGGGTGAGGAGCTCATTCCTTTGTTTTACATTGTTAGTTTTGTCGTCTGATTTTGGAGATTAAATATTTATTTTGAGAAAGACGGGGAAATGGGGAGCTTTTTGAATTTGTCCGCCAAGTGCTGGCTCACAAACCTGTCCTGGGTGAAGGTCAGATGGACACAAGGTGTGAGCAAACTGTGGCTTTTTCACAACTGGTATAGTATTTGTAATATTAACCAATAACATTGCAAGTTTTCCTAATATTATGCAGCTCTGTTCGTAGATTAGATTAGATTAGACAGAACTTCCCTATCTGTTGCTACTTTCCAGACAACTACAGATGTTGGCTGAAATCGCCAAGAAGTTCAGAAGAGGAGGAGAAACGGTTCTGATGGCTTCTGTCTCTCAGGAGTTAATTAATCGTTAGATTCTCCACCTTTTGAAATATTTACAGGGTGTTCAATTGCAGGAACCTTCTGCAGCCGTGTTTCTAATTAACTTATTGATGAGACAATGTTAATGACTTTACCAGCAATCCTTAAAGACAGATACTTGAACTCTTTTCCAATCTGGCTCTTAGAAAGTGTTAATTTATTGTTGCCAAATATTAAATCGACTTACGGAAACAGTCATTGCCCTAAATATTCTTTACCTTCATTAGACTGGCAGCTAATGTCATGAGTTTACTGAGCTCAGCTGCAACGCCTGCGTCAACAAACTGAAATGACGTTTTAATGTGATTCAGTTGCAAATTAAAAAATGAGATTGTAACTTGCACATTCTTATTATTGACCTCAATGTTTTAGTTTTTATTCTTGAATTAAAGCAGCTGCTGTTTGTGTTCAGGTGCTGGTGAAGGCTGGAGATAAAGTGACTGTAGGAGACCCGCTGATGGTCATGATTGCCATGAAGATGGAGGTGAAGTCTCACTCTAACACTCACCTCTCACTCCGAGTGTGTAATGACGCTGATTTTCGTTTTTGCAGCACACGATCCGGGCGCCCAAGTCGGGCGTCATAAAGAAGGTTTTCTTCAGCGAGGGCTCTCAGGCCAATCGTCACGCAGCTTTGGTTGAACTGGAGGAGGTGGAGGAAGTGGAGGAAGGGGGCAGCCAGTAAAAGATTCACCCACAATCAAACAAATGCACCGGGGGAGCTGGAGGAGGAGGAGGAGGAGGAGGAGGATGGAAAGCTGCGAGTGTTTTGGCTCATGTGTTGAAATGTGTTTGGGTCAGTCTGGATCAGATGTGATCACGACTGGTAACTAAATTAACTTTAAACGATGAAAAACTAATAAATTAATGTGAAATTTTACAGAGTTGAGGAGCAGATAGTCTCATATAGAAACTGATGAATTTAATGATACATTTTAATAAATACAAATATTTTCTGAGTTATTACACGAGTGATAAATTATGTCAATTTGAAACCACGACTTGTTTGTCTTTCATTATTGACTGCAGCGAGTCGTGCTGTTCTTCCTCTGTAGGTTTTCATCGGTGGCGGAGGCTGTTTAACGTCTCGATTCACTCCCAGTCCCTGCCGTTGTTCCCTTCAGCAAAACACGAGATGTGATGGGAGAGGCCAAAACGTCAATTTAAAGTTTTCTGTTTCTATCTAAACTTTTTCATCTCCTTAGTGCGCAAAGGATAAAGATACAGTTTTAGGTGGAACAATAAAGAATGATTTAATAAAATGTAAAGCATATTTAGTAATAAAGACATGAAACAATGTTTTCAGTCAAATTTGCCTCACTGGTGCAACGCTGGGAGTAGCTACATCTATTTATCTCGTTTTGCAAGCACTTTAAATTATTTGTTACTGAACTGAAAGTAACGCAGTTGTTTTTGTAATTCTAAGTTATTTCGGTGATGAAAAAAATTATTTTGAAGAGTTTAAACCAAGATTTTTCAGTCCATTCTTTCTATCCAGACTGACACCAAACTCAGAAATTATATATTATATCATATTACAGATGCACTCGACAGTCGTCAGCCTTGATATTTTTTATGCACAGTTGTTTAGTGATCAGATTTGTCCTCCAAAATAATCCTGGAAGAAAAGTCCGCCTCGGAGGGATCTGAGTGAACAGACGTTTGCTTCTGTTTAAATCCGCCAACAAATGATTATCACACAGACGACATGTGATTCACATGTGAGTCACATGTGAGCAGCTGCATCAGATCACTCTCCTCAGAGCGCTGTTACAGACTGAACTGTGTTCACTTCCTGGACCGTTTGTCGATGATAAAAAAATGACTTGTTAAATTTAGTCATGAATTGTTTTACTCTACGTCCAGCCGTGTCAGATCTGACGTGTTCACATTTAAGTTGTGTGGTTCGTTTTAAATCGATCAACTCCTTAACACCATTTAGTCACAAATCTGTTATCAGGCTTTATGAATTAAAATAAGTGAAGACGGTGCGTGGCTCTGCAGTGATCCGTCTGTGGCTTGTTTTACACAAGTGTCCTGCTCAGCTCACAGGTTTAAAAAAAAGTAAGAATTAAAGTTTTATAAACAAGGTGACGTTCGTTATTGATCTGCTCAACGACGACGGCGACAAATTACATCAAACTTTGTATTTTGTGGCGTTTCAGTACGAACGACTCGGAGCTGTGTTACTTTGATCATTTTGTGTGGAAATAATATTTCAAGCCAAGGTAACATTGTCTGACAGAAAATGTAGTTTGCTCAAAGTTGAGTAAAATTGGGTTTAAGTGTCCACATTTCATGCTTTGCTTTGATTTTTAATATTACATCTGTATTCCCCTGATTCTCACATCAGTTCTTACTAATAGCATGATTTAATATAAATTTAGATGAAATCTTAAGATCTTGTTCATCACACTACTTACGATTTTATTTATTTTTGCAAGTTTAATTAGCGTTTTATATATTTACAACCAAAAAACACTGAACAGTTTTTAACCAGTTTAACACATGCTGCCATTTGTTCTTTACCTTTGAACACTGCAAAAAACAAAATAATCTTAGGCGCCACAAACTTCTGAATATGATTAAACGACGACAAAGTCGATTAACCTTCATTTCTGATTCCGTCTGCCAAATCTGCTGCTTTAAACTAATCTATTTAAGGTGCATTACATTATTGTTTCAAACCTGCTTTACATAAATACTCAAGCTGGAACATCTGTGAATGTTTAACTTCCACGTTCTGAGTTAAATAAAAAACCCAAACAGCATTCTTGTAAAAATGTATTTATTTAGTAAATAGGATCTTTAGTTATAAGACAGATTTACAGACCGGAGGAGGAAGACGTTTATCTCAGACGGGCGATGAAAGAGGTCTTTGTGGTGCAGCATGTTTTACAGATGGGAGAAGGAACATGGACAAAGCTGTGACACATTCTGTCACCTCGTGTCTCAGGGAGATGAATGACAGGACGTCACGCTGCACAGAACTCATAGGTTGACATTTTAAGTTTGACTCTCACTGTTCAGTTGATTCGATCAGGAAACTTTCATTTAATTAGGCTTCATTTGTTTACTGACAAAATAGGTTTTCAAAATAAAGCTTTGACTTTATTGGGTTATCGCTACAAACAGAAGGTTGGGTCAGTGATTGGTATTTGGACAAATGAAGGGCAGATTATTATTATTATTTTTGTTTCAGCTAGCATTTGGACATGTATGATCTTTTGATATGAAGACTGTACCTCTGCTGCGGGGACAGATTTAGCAGCAGATGTGAGTGAACGTCTTTTAACAAGGTATCCAATTAAATTCAGATGGTTCTTCTGATGGATAACATGATTATAAGGGGTTGAGACGTGATGAAATATTAAGTCAAAATCTAAATTATGTGGCTGAAATATCAGATTTTTTTTAAAAGGACCCCAGAGGCCCTTTATTTGAACCCAGCTGCTGCTCAGATGACGTCAGTGCTCTGGGTTTCACACCCGTTTTCAGTTGATTAATGTGAAAGAGTTTTTGGTGCCAACATGTATTCTGACTGTTTAGTCAGAATTAGGATTAGAATAGGATTTAGACATTAGAATGAGTAAAACTGAAGACCCAAGTGATCAGATAAAAGAATCAACACTGGAAACCTTATTTTTAAATAAAATGGTCCATGAACCACAAGGGGGCATCAGATGTGCACTGACCCTGCAGGAGTTTCTGCATGGCTGTCTGGGCCTTCAGTCAGGAAAGACTCTTCATCTGCTCCAGTTGTCATGCAGAAACTCAGAGGTCACAGCACTAATGACCTGAAATACTCAAACACAGAGACCGTTCAATTCTGGATATGTTTAGTGACATTATTTTGAGTGACTCGTAACAGACACCAAGTGTTTCTGTGATTAAAATACAGTACAGTACCAACAAAGTAGTTTTTCTTTCGGATGCTCCCTTCTGTGGGGTCACCACTGCGAGAACATTTGTTTCATGCAGGATGGCTCTCCTGACACAAGCTGGACTCAAACCTTAGAAGAAGACCACTGTTCTTAACTACCGAGAACACAAAAAATGAAAAAAATCATTATCAGTGTAAAATGGAGCGGCACAATTCTTGTAGGTTTAAGAAACAACAAGTTCATGTTTGACTCTTAAAACATTAATTGCTTACTTTTCTTCATATTGAATAGATGCCATTTAGATTCTTCTTAAACTTAGACAACTGTTGAAGCTGTAACAGTGGGTTTGTGCACAGGTAAAAAAATAAAATAAAAAATAAAAAGTCTTTGATTTAGGTATTGTTTTAAGTTGTATATGCAAAAAAAAAAAAAAAAATTAACTAAAGGATTTAAAGGAAAGACATGATCTAATAAGATGCATCTGAGCTGCAAGATGGAAACTGTAGGTTCCAGTAGTTTTTAAAGTTTAGTGTTAATTATATTAGTTTGTTGCATTAACTGGTGTATATTAAAGATTTCTTAATTTACCATGCATATAAAAATTTAATCAATGTGGTGAAAGCCAATAGGTCCTGATTTTAAACTGCAAACACCAACTAAAAACTAGATGTCAGTGTGTCTGAAATATCACAACCATCTTAAAATTCAATATCACCGTTTTAATTTTTAAGAGACATTCGAAAACTTCCATCTGTTTCCTTGAATATTTGTAACATCAAAAATTAATGACCCTGTTGAAAAATGTTTTTTCTTTGTAAAAAAAAAAAAAAAAAAAACAGTGCTCAGACTTGTGGTCTCAACATCTGGATGATGTGCCGTGAATGAACAAGTCATTTGACCCTTACGTTGCTGCACTTTCAATATATTCAATTTTTTTGTCTTATTTTTATCTAAAAGCAATTCCATTCTCACCCATAAAATATAGTAGCTTTAATCCTTGTGTGATTTACTCCTTATACACCAAGAAGTCAGATTTTCATAATTGTACCTTAACTAATCAAATTGATCCATTTACAGGTCTTCTGTTTCACAAAGACTGGTTCCTACATTACCCAGGATGCAACTCAACAACAGCTGACCTCTTCAAGGCCATGCTCCCAGTTTGATTCAAATTTAGTTCAATCCTCAAAATAAACACGATAATCACAAAAATGACTAGAATATTTCATACAACCGTCTTCCCACAAAAATGAGAACCAAGTAGAAACATATTTTAAGATTTGTAACCTTGTGTTAAGATATTTAAACAAATATAATAATAAATATAAACTTTCACAGTAAGTTGCACCTGTTTAAACAAAGTGTACTTTAAAATATTCAGACTTCCATGTAAAAATATAACTGATTCAGTCTTGAGCTGCAGTGGAAAATCTTTAATCTTGCAACAGGTACATGCATCCCATAACTTCATATCTGCATATGTCAAGTTTAAAACGGTTGTCTTGGTGAAAATATACATTTATCTGTAATGTTCTGGATTCTTCTCTCAAAGTGTTCATAACTCTGATGTGACCTTTAGGCTGCACGTGGCCACAGAGCTGCTTTAACCAACAGAAAAACTTCAACACACACATCGACAGCAGGAAACACACGCTGCAAAAAATGCAACAGCAAAAACATGACGAATGATTTCAATGACAGATGATAATATAAAGGAAATGACAGCAAAGGAAGTGCGATTTTGATATGAGACTTGTGCAAACGCTCTGCTTTTCCTCTTCACTAAAGGTAGATAATGTTTATCTTCTGAACATTCTGCTGTCTGGATCTAAAAACACGAGCCAGGATTTAACAAAAGCTTCTCAACATTAAAGACATCTCTGTCCAAATGTTTACCTCACTGAATAGTTTGCAAAAGCTTTTAGTGAACAGATTTTTTTTTAGATCTTATAATATCAATATAAAATATAACTGCCTTGTTACTTGAAATAATCCTTGGCCACAAAAGGTCTGTAATGCTGAGAGGCTTTCGGTCATGAGGCTGATAGAAAAAAGGCATTTACAGGGAACAAATACAAAACAACAGACTCAAACAACTTCTACCTGCAGTACCGTCACTATTAATATTTATCAATAATATAACCTCTTTAAAATGTATGGCTTTTTAAATGTCTGGCCTCTTTCAGAGCTCTGCACTGGGGAGACAGAAGCCTGAACAAGACGACGAGAAAGCAGCACAAACAAATAAGTCTTAACAATATTAGCTTCTGTACAATCAGGCACAATATAAACACTTAAATTTTATCCTTTATCCTTTGGTCTTTGGTACCATCATAGAGTTCCAGGTACAGCTCAGCGTGTTGTGGGTCTCAGCAGAACTTCTGGATGCTACAGGACTGTAAGAAGTCCATTTTTTTCCCATGTGAATGAGAAATAAGTGCAGCTGTGGAGCAGATGGCTGCACTGGAAGCAACTGGATGTTTAGCTTTAACCGATGGCTGATGCCTCCGAGATGTTTTCAAATTGTTGTCCCACTTTTGAGCTTCAAGGGGCTACATAAGTGATGTAATTTTATTTTTGTTTGGTCAAACCATTTCAACTGGTTCACATTACAGTCCAATATGTTTAACAGGACTGATGACTGACTTTAACAAACATTTGTAAGAAAAATAGAGAAAAATCTGAGAATTCTACTTAGGTCCATTTCCTACCAAATGAAAAAACAAAGTTTGGCAGCTGACCTATAGAAAAATAAATAGCTTTATGAGTGAACACAGATAGAACTATTGCCAACTTTAAAAAATGAGTTTGCAGATTGTTTTACAGGACTAGCAGACGTGGAATCTGACATTTCCTGCTCATGTACTGATTGCATCTTTGAACATAAAATGCTGCAATCCAGAATCTGATTTTCTTCTTGGCCTTTTTAAACAAAATGATGTAATCAGGCACACTAAAGAAGTGATAAAGAAGGCTGCAGCACTGAGCTGAATCCCATAGCTCCTTATCCCAATCATTACCACATCTAAAAGATGATGCATTAAGTTTGAACTGAAACAGTCTAATAAAATGGTGGTGGGGGACAGGAGTGTAACTATAATTTGTAACTGAGTGGTAGCATGCCCACTCCCAGATGTGTGTTTAAGTCCATGGCCAAGGGAGTCAGCAGAGGTTGGCCTCGATAGGCGACAGCGTCAGGATGCTGCGATCGTTTGAGTAGAAGTTCTCTGTATCGTTCCAAGACCTAAAAATAGCAGTGACGAAGGGTTAGGAGATTGACGACTGTATGTTTGTGCATGTGTGTGAAAGAGAAAGGCACTGGGTAACAATAAGGCTGAGTTGCTATCAAAAATGTTGTGATCACAATTAATCAAGCAAGAGGAAGCAGAGACGATGAAATAATAGATGAAAAAAGAGTTAGTAATGGGTGTGATGAGTTAGTGAAGAGTACCACAAGTCTCTCCTCGTTACTTACACATGAATACTGTCATTTTTAACCCACTTTCTGTTCATTTCACTTCATTCTCTAAATTATCTGACCTCAGTGAAATGTATCTGTCATCTTTGGTGTTTAAATAACACTATCAAAACGAATAGACAATAACATCAATACTCCATACAGAGCAATATAATCCTTGTCAGATGCATGTAAATAACTTATGATCACACTATCTGCTCAACAAGCTTTAACTAAAAAAAAAAAAAAACTAATTTGTTCTCATCACCTTCCAGGACATTTTGCACAACCAATGTGTTGGCTAAAATATTCATATCAAGATACAAAATGACTAAACTCTTGACACACTGTTCTGTTCCTCATCACTGTGGAAAGTATGTCTGAATTAAGCAAACTTGTATTTTATTATTGCATGGACAACTATATATGCATCTATGAAATAGATTTGAAAGTTTAAAACCCACCGTCTTCTCTAAACCTGTTTCTAACTTATCTGTTGAGGAGATGATAAGACTTGGTTACTCAACACATGGATATAAATTAAATGAAATCAAATTATAAATAACAAGCTTCCGATACATTCTTCACTCCAAAATAGCAACCAGCACTTGGTTTTCTTGCTGATGAATTAAACATCTTAAAGGTTAGTTAGCGTCGGATCCATGTTCTAGCACATTTATGACTATAGTAAAATGACAAAGGCACGGTCTTTCCAATATTAGCTTATCAAGCTGGATCACTTTTGGAATGATCTAAAACAGACATTGAACTATTTTGTTCACACAAAGGCCACAGTTTTCAAACTGAATGACCAGTGTTCGAGCTAGACAAAACGATGAGTTCCACAAAAGTCATGCTACCTTTTAAAATAACACAAACTAATTTCCACTGTAACAACACACAAAGATAAAAACAAAGAGAGATTTCAGCAAAAGCAGGGTAAACTAAAAAACCATGGATAACCAACCCTTCAGTTCAAGCTGCTGCTCCATTCTGACTGAAACACTTGATTTTCACATGACTTCAGATGTGATAGAAATGGTGAGGCAGGCTTTTAAATGCTGAACTTTACAAACATTAAAAATATGAAAAGCTGTCTAACCAGAATCTTGTTAAATAAGTAATTTCTGCAACACTCCCTCCACTTCTTTTAAATTTCTAAATGTCAGTTTCTCTGTTCTCAATTGTTCTAATGAGCTTTAAATTAAAACTGCTCTAAAAAATAAAGACAACCGTTTTAAGACCTGGTAAACAGAAGAACAAGGCCACCCAGGAACTTTAAATAGGTTCATGACTCAAATGGTGATTTGACTGGAGGCACTCATACGTGTTACACAACTCACTTGCCCATCAGGTTGATGGAAATGCTAAAACGTATGTACTCTAAAGTCATCTTTACTTTTTAGGTTAAGAATATTTAAAAAGATGCTAGAACTCAAAACATGTCTGGGTGCATGGACCAAGAACAGAAAAATTAGACTTTCTGATTAGGTCAAGCTCACAGGGGACATTGACAGCACATGGACAATTCATCTGGAAGACAGAACAACATTATGCATATTTCAGACACTGAAGGATAAGGACAGGACAGGTGAGGAAGTGTGTCAGTGGCACAAATATAACCAGGTACACTGCATACAAAATACCAATGGCAACAGTAGCCCCCATGCAACAAGACAGTCAGCATTCTTGTTTTGTAGCTTGTGGTGGATGAGAAGTTTCCGTTACCCAAACCTTCAGAAAAGGTGAGCTCCACCAAACTGGAATATCAAGAGTTCAAGAACAAGAATGCTCCCAATGTTAGACTATTCTCTGAAGCACATATAAGGCTTTAGGAGTTAGTAGAAACAGATTAGTAGATACAGGAAGTAGAAGGAAAAGTATACTTTCCAGCAGCTACACTGGTAGAAGATGTGATCCACTTGTCCTCTGAACCAGAACAGAGTGACCAGGAAAGATACTGTGAATGCAGCTACCTTAAATTTTCTTTCGTTAACGCAAAGCTCACAGGCGGCTTTAAACATTTTAACATCTGATCTCTTTGTTAACATGTCCAAGTAAGTTTGACACTTGGACTGAGACCCAGCTACATGGATGCAACAAATACACAGACATCTTGTTTGTTGCCATTATCAAAAACATCTTAAATCTTGTGACACTCATGCATGTTCTGCTTTGTTGTCCTCCAGCTATGACAGAGCAGTAGTAGGCATTCAACACTGCAACAACAAGCAAAGGCAAAAAGCCAGCTATAACTGGGCTTCCAATAAATAATGAATAAATAATTATATATTATCCAAGTAGTATGCCTAATATATGTTCTATTCAGTCATGACAAATAGAATACAGGAATGGGCGGATACCCATTTCCTTTATGGCAGTTTCTTAGCATTAAGGCCAAATGTGGGTGGTGCTACTTGTTCAGTTCCCAGTAGTTGACTGCTTTATTTCCACAAACTAAAGAAAAAGCAAGTTTGACAATGGACAAAAGGTATTTTGGTTTGCAGATTGCATGAAAAAAGTACAAAGATACTGCGGAGGAAGAATAAAATTACAACTGCAGATTCAGCCCAGTTCGATTTGATCCAAGTACAATAAAAATCTCACCTTTGCAATTTAAGTTACCATACTTTTACTGGCTTTTCTTAACCTTATGGGAGGGAATTAATTTGTTGTTGGTTCACTTAGAGGAATACAATTGATTGCTATGTGCCAGGGACAAAACAGATCAATCGTTTCACAGGAAGTCATTTATCTAAAGTGAATCATGCACCGAGAGGGAATTGCGTCCTCAAAATATTACTTGTTTTCAACAAATTGACACTGCTGGTCATTTTGATGGCCAAAATCACAGGTCAATTTGAAAAATAATGAAAATGAACATTACTAAAGCACAGAATCCAATTTTATCTAAAATGGATACATTAATTCTAACCATTTTCAATAGAAACTAAGATGGTAAAATCAATCAGAGACTGGTCATTGCAGCCAAGCAATCACAAAACACTATTTTCCGTATGTGACCGTCCTCTGCCCGACTACATAATGCAGTGGTGAGTGGTCCTTGGGGGTTAATCTGAGGTCATGAAGACTGAATCTCTATTTTTACTGGCATACTGTAACCTTTCACAAACATGCATGCCAACAAAGAACAAATGCTATATCTTCATTACTGGTCTAATCAATTTTGAACGTCCCAAGATGTTTTGAGAGGTAGTGATTGCTCAGCAGAAAAGGCTGATCAGGTCAATTAATCAATGACTTCCATAGAGTCACCAGGATTCATGTAAAGACACAATAATAGAAAGTGCAGACTGGGCAGACCTGCAAACTGTGTTCTCAGCTTGCAGTCTCTAAAAGCTTCACCAGGCAAAAAAAATAAAAATATAATTCTGACAAAAGAAAGTTTTACAATCTTTTATCACAAACTGAACATCTTTTTGTGCAAATGACGGACTATCAATTTTAAGCCCAACTTCCACTTCCTGTATAATACTTAGTGTATCCGTTGATTACACATTTTGATTTCACTTACAATTCAACCAGCTGAACTCATCGCAGGTAGAATTACCTTCTACTGGACAAGAGGATCTGCAACCAAATTTAGAGTTGATCTAAAATCAACAAGTCAATTTATTGTAATGCTGGTGTCATATTTCTCAGTGGATTATGAATTACCTACAACACCGGCTTACCCTTACTGGACTACCCATTTGGACACGAAAGTTTCATCTTATGAAAGAATAATCGAGAAGACAATCAGGACAGACAGAACAACACATCATAGAAGTGATGAAGACAGACATGAGCTAATACACTGCAGTATGTACGAGTTTTACAGACAAGACATTGTATAGCATTGGGCGCACATACATTAGACACCAAGCTTTGAAAAGACCTCATTAAAAATTCCTTCAACCAAATCCTCTCAAATTAGGCTGCCAAGAATCCACATTTTCTAACCACAACGGCACCACCAGCACAATTTGTTAGTTTGTTGGCCTCAAAGATTTTGGTTTCAATGCATTTTTGAACACACACTTCTGTATGTGTAACATTTAACAAACCACTCTGTCAAATTATTCCTTCTACAACTGCAATGGAAAGCCAATGCTCATAAGAGTGCAGCCCATAATGGCTTGATCCACACATCTTCAACCATCAGCTCTTCTGGATGTGAATCTGCACTCTAAAACCAGCCTCAACCACCCTCTGCAACTCAGCTTCCTCAATACTTCATGTTCAAACTGCTATAAACCTGAACAAGAAATAACTTACAGTAAAGTTGCAATAAAATCACGGGCTCAGACAGAACTGCTGTCCATACTTTTAACACCAAGAGGTGGTACGGGCTCATCAGAATTCATATTCATTGTTTGTTGTTGTCGTCCTCCCCACCTGTTGCTGCGGCTGGATGCGTGGCAATTGTTAATGCTGGCCTTGCATTGTCCAGTCATTTGCTCCAGGAGGTGGGCCAGACGTGAACAGCCGCTTTGCCCGTGCTGGTAGCAGCACAGGGATTCCACACAGCTGAGGGCCTGCGCCTGGGGGGCTGATAGAGACTAGAGTAGGGAAAAGATAGTGCAAGAGTTGGGGGGAAATTAAGAAAGAGTGAGAAGTTGGGAGTATGAAATCACAAAAAAGGAAGAAAGAATAGGAAAGAAGTTAAAGTAGTAAGCAGAAAAAGATGGGAGAAGAAAATAAGATGCTGTAAATTAAACCAATTGTTTTACTGACTGGATATTCAGGGTGAGTGGAGGATGACATATTGCATGCTGTTTCAGTAACAATAAATTATGGGGAAACCACAAACATGCTACACACAAAAAAAAATGAATAAAAAAAAAATCCTAACATTTTCCCAAGTAAAATAAACAACAGATCTAAACAAAAATAGCAAAATACTGAAGTGTCTGTTACAGTATTACTCCATCATATGAGCTGGTCTCCTTGCATTTCATACATGTAATATTAACACATTTTTATTCTAAGCTATCCAATAGGGATTTTTTTTTTATCCCACAATTACCGTAAACTTGTGATATCAACTTATTTGGACTAGATGTCCAAGACGAGCTTTCATTCAGTTACCAGGCCTTAAACCCAGTTTACGTCTTTTTGCATTTTTACGATATCGCTTAACATCTAATCAACATTCTTGAGAATTAATTGAATCACATTCACAGGCAGCAGCATAGTAAAGTTTCTTTCTTCTTCTACTTTACAGAATCCATTCTTTGCACATATTGTACATAACATCGTTTGTAAAACCTTTTGACTAATCAGGTTTAGAAGTTAGCCAGTGATGCTTCAGTAAATTAACTTGAACAAAGATGATGCCCAACATCTGGAACCCCTTTGCTCTTCCGATCTGTGTCGGTGGCTAAAATACATTATGTGAGGGACAGAAGACAAAGTAAAACAAAACAAACAAACAAAAAAACAACCAAACAAATATATATATATTATTGTTATGTAGAGATCAATGTGTAAACTCCTGTTTTACTGTCAAACAATAAAGGGCACCAAATGACTTAACCATCACAGAAATACATAAGAATCCATTGTCCAAAACATTTTGTAATTATTTTAAAATAAAAACTACTCAGGTGTACAGAAAAAAAATATAACTCTTAGACTACACGTGTGCTATTGTAAGTAAAGTTATGACTTTGTAATGTCCAAATTCTTAAACTAATGAAGTAAACAATTATTTCCAATTAAGTTCAGTGTTGTTCATTCTAGTATAGTATAAAATGATCTCATTTGTGCTGGATTTGTGACCACTGTGATGTGGCCCAAGTTTCACTGCAGCAGAAATTTGAGACATTGCTGGCATGAAACCAAACTTCGGCTTCTTGGTTGGCCACGGCAAAACAAGCTAATCGGACCAAATCTGACTTATTCTAGCAGTGCTGCCTGACAAACGAAACAGCATGACTTGCATTTCTTGTAACTTATTGCTTTAGTTGCAGAAAAAAATTATGTATTGCATTACTGTAACAAGAGTTACTTGTGTATTCATTGGAAGTGAAAGCCAACAGCAGCTGCTTCACTGAATATTAATGCATCCTTGTGTTTGTGTAAAATATCTTAATGTTCTTGTGATCAAACTGAGCAAGCTCAAGCCAGACTGCCTCTGCATCAGCTAGTCAAGAAGAAATCCGTCTTTGCAGGGCTTGTAAATCAGAAACACTAAAATAATCAGCTGAACACACCATGTTAAACTGTGCTTTTGTTGACTACCGGTAACTCTTTGCATTTGTGTTATTTTTTCCATTCGGGAGCAGCAGCCAGATTATACACACTGTAAGGCCAGACCAATTCATGTAATTAACTGCTGTCTGGTAAAATTAAAGGTGCTGCCATAAAACAAACTCAGTGACAGTTATATATGTGACACCATCTTCTTAATTTAGTCAGAGTTCAACACCACACATCATTTTGTAATGTTACAACAGTAGTTTTACTGGTCTAATGTTTGATGATTTTTTTAAAAATGGTAAACAGAAATTAGACTACATACAAAACAAGACAAAAATAGGATATAACACATAAAATTGAAATTTTAAAGGGATATTAGGTTTCTTTAAAAAAAAAAAAAAAAAAACACAACACAGACATACAACCAAATGTGACATTTGCAAATTTTTGAATGAAGATGTGGCAAAGACAATGTAGCCAGCATGCCAACAGCATTCTCTCAAGTCTGAGCCTGACCTGATCAAACACAATGATGAGTTGAGATCAGGTTAGGAAAAAAAAAAAAATCAGACAATCATGGTGGGGCATAGGGAGAACAATGTCAAGTCATATCTGCATGTGGTTATCCATAGAAGGGTAGGGAAGGATGATCAGGACTAAATGGGATAGGATAGGCTCATTCATACACAGTGATCTAGACCAAAACATGTACAGGTGTAATACTTTAAATATAATGGGAGGAAAGTGCTGTAGGGTAGCAACTGCAATATACAGCCATGGGATAATGACTGGAACATACAACACGGCTTGTGCAGATTGCTGCAGCTATGGGAGGGTGCACAGGATTGGCTGGTCCTTCAAAACCAAGGGAAAACCAGGAAGATGATAGCACATGGGGGCAATGGGAGAGGTTTACAGTACATGTATGGTACTACCTAAGGGAGCATGGTTCTTGGTCAGGGGCAGCAGGGGAAGGAAAAGCAGCTAGCAGGTGCCAATTGTCCTCCCCTGGGCTCCGCTGGGCTTTAACAGGGTCATATTCTGGGCCGACTGAACCCTCACCCCCTTCCATCTGAAGAACACAAGATGCTTACAGTGAGCCCTGTTAGCTGATCAAACAGCTTATTCATCACAAAACCAAGAAGACTGTTGGTTTTGCCAGACACTGAAAAAGCAAGTTAATAATTATACTGCAAAATATATCCATCTTTGTCATTTAGTCTTTTACTGAATGATTTGATAAAAAAAAAAACTGCATCTTGTTTTACATTTCCAAAATCTTGACTATGAGCTAAATTGTTACATCATCAAAGGTATGTTTAAAAAAATGTAGGTTACCGGTAATTAGAAATGGTCTCACACATCTGATAATATTTTTCATTTCCCTGATGAAACTTACAACTTTAAGATTCAATAAAAGACTAAATAACTAACAGAAAGTGTGTTTTTAATGCAGCTTATTCTCCAAATAGCAAAATTAAATTATTGGGCAAGCAGTCAGCACGTCAGTGTAGGCCACAGTGTAGGGTGCCTGTTGTTTACAAACAAATGACTTGTGAAATACACACAGTACTGTGCAAATGTTTTAGACAGATTTGATTCTGATGGCTTGAATTCTGTTGTTAATAGTTAACAATTCAAAATAAATGAAAATAAATCAATATTTTGGTATGATATCCCTTTACTTTGAAACAAAAATTTTATTTAAATTTAATTCACTTCAGTTAAAAAATTGCAGCTAGTCTGTTCCAAACATATCGGAGAACTAACCACAGGTCTTCTGTGGATGCAGCTGGCTTAGATATTGTAACCTCTTCATGTAATTTTCTGTAGACACTCACTGTACTGTTCTTTAACTTTTTGGTAAAAACAAACGGCCTTCTTTCTGCAACAACATTTAATTTTTTATTAAACACCTGATGCTATTTTTCAGCACTAAAGTTTTCATGTTTGTGTACAAAGTCTAGCTTTTTAAATTAAAATGATTTCATGAAGATTCATGACAAATGCCTCAAAGGACAGTAGATGGTTGTACCTGGGTCCTGCAGGCTTCTGCTGATTCTGAGCTGATGGCTCTGCTCCACCTTTTTGCAGATACAAGGTTCATTTACCACACCTAAATATTACTGGCTGACCATTGTGTCTACAGTCCTTCATTTTGCCTGTTTGTTTTTGCTCCATAAAAAACAGCCTGAATAGCACATCTTGAAACCCAGTATGCTTAGAAATGTTGCTCATTTTTGCTGTCTTAAGTCTTTAAAGAGTGTGCGCCATATAACATGAAACTGTCTTTTACCTGACCTTTCAGCAGTTTGTTTCTCACTCAGTTTTGACCCTCCAACCTTTTGGTTTAATGTATTGCCTGTGTCTCGGCCTACACACAAAAATAATGAGCATTAACACCTGTTAGTACAGTATGTCCTGAAAGATGCTCAGTAATCCAGGTAGATAAATCTAACAAGGTCGAGTCAGGTCCTCTGGATGGATTCTCTTCTGCTGAAGAACAACCTTTGCTTGCAGCTTCTCAGACTGAAGAAGTCTTTTGAATAAAAGACAAAACTTTTCAACAAAAAATAAGCCATCCAGAGGACCTGACTCAATCTTGTTAGACATGGTTAGTATAATCTGTTAATTAGATATCAGAGTTTACAATCCTACATAATCCATGAATGCACAAGTGCACCTAAAGGCGATGATGATGTTAGAAGGAAAACCGTGATCACAGCAAAAGTTGAATTGATCTTTTTTTTTTTTTTTTGGTTTATTTACTTGGAAATTTGAATATTGATAAAAATGAAATAAAACTTTATATTTGTAAAAGCCTTCTTATTTTCCAGCATTTTTTTTTCAAACCTATCTAAACTTTTTTCACAGTACTGTACATACAGCATACACAGATCATAGCCATTTTGGATCTATAGCTTTTCACAACTGACCTTATTAACATAGTAACATGGGAAGCTATTTGTTGACTTTAAAGGGAAAGATCAACCGTTTCCTGGTTAGAAAACATTAACAAGATCCTGTAATTTCCCCATTCTGCTTAAAACCAAAAGATAACCATGAAACATTGGCACAGAGTAGGTCTTAAAGAATATTTAACCAATCACTGAAGGAGTACTTTCACTTCTAAACAAAGCAGGAAACAACTGAACTCCCTGCTGCGAGAAGGGTATGCCAAAAAGTACGGTAACTGTAAAACCAGTTAAGTAATAAACTGAAAAATGTTTAGGTATACAAGATTTCTTTTAACAATTGTTAATACACTGTTTTGGTTTAAAACAAATTATTTTGTCACATGATAGGCATCATGTGATAAAATATTTTGTTTTAAATAAAAGTTTGGGAACATGTCTACTTTCTCCCACATTTTCTTAATCACAGGATTAAATCAAAGCACATATCAGAACACCACAATAAAACTTAAAAGCCATTAACTTCAGCCTACAAATTCACTGAGCGACTCCAGCTGAGTATGACCACTTACTTTAATGTGATGTAAAAATTGGCAACTAAATGACCAGTAAACTACAAAGACTTGCATGCTACATACCAGTAGATGTAGAATAGAGAAATACATATACAGTAGCATAGAAGTCCTTAAAATAGCGTGCTAAATAACACTCAAATCTTTACTTTCAGAACTTTTTTCTGATTTGAATAGTCTTTAAATGAAACTCATGCTACTTCTTGTGTTTCTCTTGCAGGCTGCAAGACGAGCAGGATTTTGATCTAATTGTTCTTAAATATTTATGAAGAAAGCAGTTTTTGTCATGCTGCTTAAAATGACTATCATTCTGCAAGAACAGCCCAGACAACTTCAAGTCACTCATGCAGCTCTAATAGGCCATCAGTCGATGTGAAGATCTGCTCAAACCATGCAAAGGGACTACCCAGAGATGACCAGGCCATCTCAAGTGGTGAAACCAGTTTGAAGTCTATTGGTAGGGCAAACATCAAGTGGGCACAACACACAGATAATGTCAGTTTGATGGACTGCACTGTGCATGTGACTGATGTCTTTTTTTAAACTGAGATGCATGCTATAGTGGTAGAAGTTCACATCTGACCCCACAATCAAACATACAGTGCTGCAGTTAGAACAGATTTTTTATATACAGTGTATACATCCATACTAAACATACAAAATCCCTGCATCACATAAATGCTCAATATTTCAGAGTGCAGAGGAAAATTGTCAGTGAGGGTTTTGTTGTGATTGTATACTCATTCATCCGCTCGCTCATTCACATATCATTTGTTCATGCAGTAGGTTAATGTTGTAATGAAAATATTTTGCTTTAGAAAGAAGGTGGTTTTAAAATGCCTTTGTATCAGACTCTTATGCAATACATGCTGCTGCTAACTGAATTATTTTTATTGTTCTGCAGAATCTAACTCTTCAACTCCTCAGAACATATTTATATTTCCCCCACCTTATCTCAAGAGAATGCTGATTGGCTTGTTCAAAGCATGCAACCACAGACATGAAATGTATCGTTCTAAAATGGCACAAAACTGTAAAGGACTGTTAGTTGAGAGACTACTGAATAATCAGGAGCACTTATTCCATAAAGCAATGTTTCTTCTTTTGGAAACTCATTTGTTGATTTATTTAAAACTCTAAAATTACAAGATTTAGAAACGTTCAAAGTATTTCAAACATATTTTACAAAATGCCTAGCATAGGTATTCAAAGTAATTCAAACTTGTAAAATTCCCTTTGAAGTATTATGATGAAATACATGTTTTGTCATTTTTAACATGTCAATGAATAATTGAAACATAAGCTGACAAATTATTTCAGTAAATTTATAACTGTTACTACAGTTTCTCTATGCTATTATTAGTGCTTAAATCCTGATAAGACGTAATTTAGACAATATTTTTCCCCAAACTAAATAGGATAAAAATAAAATCTTTTTTTATTTTTTTTAATAGAAATATTGCACTTGAAAGAAGCACTCCTTTAATTAGTATTTTTCCACAAAGTTATTTAGGATGTATGTTAAACCGAGGGCTTAACGAATCTCAAATCTACCTAATTTTGCCCAGCTGGCTCTTGGCTCTGGACAAAGGTTGCAGAGCGATGAAGTCATCACCTATCACCACTCGGTTGGAATACATCTACACCAGGAGAGCACAGACAAAGGGTAAGAAGAAAAACACATCAGCACACAGAGAGGTTAGAAGTTATGCCTTCACACAACCACACACACAAGTGTAAATTTAAACAAACCAAATCGTAGAATACACTTTCACAATCAATCACAACTCCCACACAAAGACAGATAGGGTAAAATGTTAGGGAACTATCTAAAAACACCACATAGAACAGGAAAAGGGCAGCTCCAGTTCTTTTTTGGAGGGGAACCAAGTAGGTATTTTTTAATGGAAGAAGATTAACTAAACCCAGATTTCTTTCCAGCAGGACAAATCAGTACTGTAATAATGCAGATCTTTTCCAAGATAACAGTTTTTCCATTTGTACTGTCTGTGATCAAAAGGTCATGCAGCACAACTACAACATGGTGTTTCTGTTTAGAATTGAGTTACTCATGACCACTCAGGTTGGAAATAAACTTTCCAAAAACAACAGAACATTTTCTTCCACTCTCTAGATCAGGGCTATTCAACAAAACTGCTCAGGGGGCCGCAGTTTCTGAAAGCCAACAGCTCGGGGGCCAGACATCCAGCGATTAAAATCATTATATAAATAAACAAAAGTTTAAAATAATCTGTTACCTGTTAAATATGTTTATTTTATTGCATCAAATCATAAATGCAATAACTAGAACACCCCCCCCAAATAATAATAACAATAATAATAATATATATATATATATATATATATATATATATATATATATACATACACACACACACACACACACACACACACACACACACACACACACACATACATACATACATACATACATACACACATTTATTTATTTATTTATTTAATGACGCGAGCCAGACTGAAGTCACCCACGGGCCGGAAATGGCCCACAGGCCGCCAGTTGAATAACCCTGCTCTAGATTTTGTGTTCCCTTGAAATTAAGAGTTCATTTTCTTCCCTTAGTGCCTTTTCATTTTATAGGAAATGCAATTTCCACCTCTGTACTACACTGGATTATGCATGAAATCTATCACTGCCCACTTTTAAAATTATATGAAAACCTCAAAAAAGTAGGCAGGTAAATATTATTTGCAAGTCTACAAAACTTGACTTGGATTTCTCACTGAGGTTTTCTTGACAACAATTTGTAAACCATGGTTGCACCTCTCACTTATTTTTAGTTTTTATTCTCCTCCCATTACCTGGCTCTTCTGTGTGCTGGTGGGCTTCAGATGTCTGAACATGACCTTCTTAATTATATCCGGAAAGAGGCAGATGATGATAATAATAATGATGGCAAACCAGGCCGAACCACTGGAAAGCAGTTGTACAAAGACAAAGTACATGTCCTGGGTGTGCAGGAATGGCCTGTAAGTGGCAGAAATAACATACCGTAGTTGTTAAGTAACACAAAATAAAATAAAATGACATACTTGCCATCAATACGAAAAAATATTTGGTTTATCTAAAAGTGAGTGTAACCATCTTTTTTTTTTTTTTAGTCCATGAAACTAAACAGTAAGCCACACTCAGTTCACTATGTCTTGTTTACAGTAAATTTACCGGTAGGTCCCAGACAGCAGGGATTGTGCTTTGAGATAATTTTATTTTAAAGTAGTTTAGCAACCAATGCAGATACCAGACTGAAAAAAATCAACAGCAGCCCAGTATTGTCAGAGTGGCTCCCAGATGTCTGTGAGCTGACCCGGCAGGATAACGTGCTTAAAATTGATTTGATTGATTCAACTTACTGGCTAATAATTAATGTGAATTCAAACTAAACCCAACAGAGTTTGTTGCAGTGACAAGTGTTTGATTCACCAAGAAATTACAAAGAAAATGAAAGGAAAAAAGTACAGGGTGAGTACATTTTACACATATGTATTTAGTAAAAGACACATTTTTGGCTTGAGGTGGTGTCAAAAATGCATGATAAACTACTCTGAATTAAATAAGTAAAATAAGTTTCAGACAAATGTCACTGCAAGCTTCTAAAATAGGTTATTTATGGAGGTGGTGGAGTGATCAACTGCAACAGTAAAATATGTCACTCTTATGTTAATATCAAAAAATGTAATACTTCTGAAAGACCATGGAACAACCTAAACAATAAAACTATGTTTTAGATTACGTATGTAAATTCAGCTTGTGACACATTGGAATTTAATTTTAAGTGTTCAGAATCTGTGTTTATATACTGCATGCTCATTGCACAACATGCCCATATTCTGATTTAAATGGTCCCCTTCAAGAAGCTTTGCAAAGATTATTTTGAGTGCTTGGCTGAAACAATGTCAATACAGTAAACCCAAATTTCAATATGTCATCATATAAGAAAGCATTGTGAAAACACGTTCTTACCAGATGATGCCTCCATAGAAGAGGGAGAATATGAAATAGAATGCTATGGAACCCCACGTCACAAAATGATTCATCCAGGTCCAAAAATGAGTTTCTAATGCAAGCTGCCATGTAGAAGGGGGAAACATGTTGGTGTAAATTATTGAGAAAAGAGCAAGGAGTACACCAATAAACTACAACAATCTGCATCTATCCTATAAAAGATACCTTGACATCCAATTTGCAACAAATAATTTTCTGTAGCTCATGGTCGGTGACATCATCAGCTAGACAATATATTGTATTTCACTCAAGGAGAGTGAAATACCAAGTGTGTCTGTGTGGCTCTAATATGTTATTCAGCTTTTAGCTAAAACCATCAGCAGCATGACAGCTAAGCTAAATCAAAGCAGGGTGCTGAACCGTCTTCACAAGCCTTACATTTACATTCAGTATATAACTTCTAAATTATTGTGAATTACCCTAATCCTAAAGTATTGTTTGTATTTTGTTTGATTGTTAGTAATCATTAAAACCATTATGTTGAGATAAAATGTGATGTTTACCTTTAATGTGACAGTGATGACCATAACAGTAAAGACAAGGGTTCCAAACGTCCAGTTCCCAAACATCTATAAAAATAAAGACATGCTGCTGTTATTAACGGTCATCTGTAAAGTAAATTCTGTCATTAGCTGATGAGACTAAGACCAGATACAAACAGAGGCTTTGTTAACATGCAGAAACATGGTTAGTGGTGGTATAAATGGTAAGCTGATCAGCCTCTGCCTCCGTTCTTTTATTTGATCACAGATGGTAAAAATGTCAAGCAGAGTTATTTTATTTTAAAGTATTGTTTCCGTAAAGCCATAAAAGTCCGGAGTAGTGACACTGTGGACGATGGGATTAGTTCTATGCTTTTTGCTCATGTAGAGGAAATAAAGCACTTCTACAAGGTAGAGGTTCTTGTTTAACAAGGTGTCTGCTGTTATGGCTCTAGTGCAGCCTTTGTAGTTTGCCTCAGAAGCTCAACTGTTTATGGTCTGAGAGCTGTAGGTGGTACTCGGCTGTTGATGGCCACTTCCGAACACTGCTCGAGTCCCAACACTGATGCTTAATAGCTAGTGAAGAAAGATGTATTTAAAACATTGCGTCTAGTAGTTGCATCCAGTAGGTGGACAGTTTTAGAGATTTTGTTCCCCTTTATGTTTTTTTTTTTTAATTGAGCCTCCAAACTGAATAACAAATCTCAATCCAATACTGATGACTAAAGAAACCTTTATAGCCCAAAAAACATAAAAAATGCACGACATTTAATTTTTTCAGAAATGCAACCTCTCAACATTAATCATAAATAACTAATTATGTAATAAAGCATGCAGTAACTCAGATGCGAATTAAACCAATGAAAAACTGATTTATTACATTTTCAAAAAGGAACGCTATGATGTCAGAATTTCAAATGCCCTTTTGCTCTGATGTTTTAATGTCGGTGAATCTTTGAGTCCTCCCATTAACCTCCCATGAAGACATGCATTCAACTGTAGATCACTCTTACCAGCTGCCTGTTAGCTCGCAAGATCTGAAGACATGCACAGCATGAAGGCAGAAGAAAAAGGCGTGATCAACAAAAGATGGAAGGTAAAAGACAACAAAGAGAGTTATAGAAGTGAGTGCATTCAGAAATGGCAAATTACAGGTAGAAAGAAAGGTGGAAGGATATGTAGCAGGAATAAAAGAGAAGGAAAAAACTGTAAAATTAAAAGTATGGGAAACAGACAGATCCCAAACAGCAATATAAAGAGAAGCAGTTAGAAATACCAGCAAAAAAAAATCTAACCATAAATGCTGAAACACAAATATCCTGCTATTTTTATTACCTCCCATTTATGAACTGAACTAATACTTCACAACATAATTTCAGGAAAAATAGTTTACAATTGTTTTAAAATAATTTACAATAAATGAAAATACATCACATACACAAAAAATGCAAAACACACCTGTCCATTGCCCATAAGTGTCGTGTCTTCTCCCATCAGTAAACAGGACCCAAAGAAGAAGACGAAGGCGTGACAGAAGCCCAGTAGAGTCCAGTACAAGAATGTCCCAAAAGACAGCAGAGAGTTCTTGCTAATATCTCTGTTGATGACAGTTTTATAGTTCAAAATGTAAGCAAAAATTTATTTTTAAAAATAGATCAGCATTCTTAAGTGTTGCATTAAAATCTGATTTTTCCTATGTTTTTCAAGAAAGCAGCAGACATTGTCTAGATAAATTATCTTAAAGTATATCAAAACTGCTAACATCAAATGAATATAAACAGTGCACCTTTATATTACACATGGACGTACCTGTACAGGGCAGGCTTACTCTGTAGCACATGTGGGTGGACCAGCTGTTCAAACAGACTGTACACCAGGATGGGCAGCGAGGTGAAGCAGATGTTGTAAAGTGTCAGGTAAACACTGTCATACAGAGTCTGGATCAGACAGAAACATCATTTCAGCAGCAAATTATTAGCTAACTCCTCCAACAAACAGACTCGGACATACTATACTAATATACTGTATGTATCAGTATTGTTTGAGCTTAGTCTCAAGATGAGTTTAGGAAAGTATCTATTAAATAAATTTTAATGAGCAAGTCCTTCAAAATGGCTTAAAAAGACGAACATTAAAGACTTGAAGAAAACTAACAAAAAAGTACAATAAATTGAGTTTTTAAAAGACTTACTTGTTGTGAAAACAAACAGAAGAACTGGTATAAAAACTGTGGTGTGATAAAACACACATTCTAAAAAAGAAAGTGAAGAAAATAACATTAAAAACAATTTAGTTAAAGCAGATGGCTGCATATACTCATGTTACCAGTATATATTTTTTATTTACAATTACCATAATTATCATTTCTATTACATGAAAGAGTATTCCAGAGGAAATCAATTCTCTGTAACTTGAGCCACAATTTACCTTGTAGAAAAAGTACTGTACAAGTGTAGCTATTCGAATGTAGTAGAAGTGACCATGGACCAACAGAAGTTTAGCCAGGAACTTAAACCTAGCAATTGCATAGTCGCTGTTTCTCACGGCCTGACGACCCTCCTTCCCCATGATACCTGAAGATGAATGCATATAAACAAACATTGTGGAAATGACTCTTTACACATAAAGTGTTAGGCAAGTATAGTTTTTGTACAAGTACAAGTTTACCTATGCCCACATGAGCTTCTTGTATCATACTGACATCATTTGCTCCATCTCCAACAGCCAAGGTGATGGGCTTTTCTGGGGAGGTCTTCAAAAGTCGCACCACCTTAAAAAAGATAATTGTAACACTGACGTGCTGAATGACAGAGGTATTTTTTGTAATCTAAAACACATGCACAACATATTTAAGGTTATCTAAGGATCCATAATTTGATCCTGTTTTGAAAACACTTCTCTCTCTTATCCAATGTTAGTTAAAGAGACAAAAAAGTGACTCCCAATGTAAAAACTGCTTAAGCAATAGACCACTATATATTTAAACAAAAGTAGAGGTTCTCCCACAGTGATTGTACTGTATACATGGCAGTAGGTCAGTACCTTGGCTTTTTGCAGAGGGGCCATGCGGCAGCACAGCACAGCTGAGCAGTTTTTACATACGTCCATAAAGAGCTTTTCATGTTCCCTTAATGCTAAAGACAAACTGGCCCCATCTACAACCAACCCATGTTGGATGACGTGGTCTTCTTTTATCCTAGGACCATATTTTTGTAAAAAAATACAAAGAAAATTAAAGTCCCGTTTGTTTTAAGTTAGAAGAAAAAAAATAGTAGTTTGTGAACTCACATACCTTTAGACTGTTAAAATAAAAACAACACACACACACCTTCTGGCCAGTCTACCAAGTTGTTCAGCACACTCATTATCAGAGCGCTGTTGCAGAAGCTCCAAGATGTTCATTGCTCTGTGGAAATGGCCACAGGACAAGCTGACACTAACTGCTGTCTCATGTTTGTCTCCTGTCAACACCCACACTTTGATTCCTGCCAGCCGCAGTGCTTCAATGGTCTCTTGAACTTTGTCTTGAAGTCTATGAGACAAAGGAAAATACATGGAGTAAACGTCCGCACCACATACTGTATGTACAAGTCGAATTAATCCGGACAACTGCATTAGATGAATTTTTGTGAAAACCGCCTCAAACTTTTGATTTTTTTTATACAAAAATAAACAAACAACACATGAACATAGTTATTCATAGAGAGATAGTACATATAATAAAGTGGCCTTTTTTTTTTCAACTATCAACTATGCATTTTAAATCATAAACTGAAAACAGAAGGAAATGTTAGTCATGCCTTTCATAACAGAGGAGACCCTCTGATTGTGACCATGTGTGTCCAGTGAGCAACTCATTTCAGACACATTAACAGAGCAGTGAATGGGGAAAAAAATTAGGCCTGAGATAAACAAAGTGTGAGACTCAGGCTTATGAGAGGAACAGATGGTGCACAGATGCTAACACACAGCAGCATTAATTTCCAGAAAAGTTTTGAAAGATGATCTCCCAGAGGACCATAAATTGCATATTTTTTAATCCTCCTGTTGTGTGTATCTATATTGGTCATGTGTTTCATACGATTTTAAAATGACCATGAAATTAGTTGACTAATCCAAAAACAATACTCATTTTTCACAATATTCATAAACTACATGTGATGCTTTTGTGCTATAATTTATCAGTCTTTCACATGTTTCTGTTTTAGCATAAAAACAGACAAATACTATTTTCTAGTGGTAGAATACTTATTATACTTACTATTAGGCTTTATTTGAAAAGCACCACAAATACAATTATCCATAAAGCTTAGCATTTAAAATTCTGTTAATTAGAGGTGAATCAAAAGTGCCACTGAGACTGCTGGGAATAAAATTAGTTTTAGAGGTTTGGTCAAAAGTCAAACAGAAGATAAAACACTGTTTAACTCATAATTAAGGAAGACCAAACTCCAGCCTAAAGTAATTAGGATTTATCAAGTCCTGTTGGCTTAACAAGGAGAAAGGTTAGGGAGACAGCCCTTTTGTAAGGTTAACCCTTTGGAGGTTAAGAATGTTCTAAATCATTGATGAGATTTTACAATCTACACCAACACAGAGGAAAAACTAAATACCAGACCACATTAAAAAAGAAAAAGCAACAATATTGTGACTTTATAAAAAAAAGGTACATACTTGTCCTCTACCCCAGTTGCTCCCAGGAGATGCAGATCTCTCTCAATGTAGCTGAAAGCTTCCTGTAGTTTCTCTTCTCTCTGCTGCAGAGCTGTGCGAGCAGCAGTTAGGTGCTTGTCAACATCAATATACTCCTCTGGAGTGAAGTGGCGACATGCCACCACAAGGGTCCGCAGACCTTTCTACAATAAAATGAAAAACGAGACAAAAACATTACAAAACATTTTAAGAGAAACAAGAACAAAAAAAGAAAGAAACTAGTAATGGAGTTGTTAGATGACTAGGATTCAAATGAGAATATTTTTATCAATAGGAAGTCAATAGTACATGGATGTGGGATGACATGATTTATTACGTACATAGATGAACAAAAGCATGATAGATTTTATTTCATAGAACCAACATGAAGGAGGTGATGAGCACACATAAATCTAGTTTGGGGAACCACTTCTGGGTGCTGATGTCTGATGCATCATAATGAATACATTGTATGTGCAGTACTGTTAATACAAATAAGTGTGTGACTGCTGTTGCAAAGACTTTACAATCTCATAGACACAGGGTAATAGAGCATCAAGAAATCACTGCAACATCATACTTACAACTGTAAATGCATGAATCAAGTGTCAAAATTAACGTTTCATCTTAGATATAAGATTTTATTTATCTTACAACTGCTGATTTGTCCTCTTTCATAGTGTTTAAAAAAAAAAAAAGAGTACCTGAAATCCTAAAATTATTTTGTGATGTGTGTAAGACGACAAAAAAACAAACATGATTTTTTTAAACAATTGTGAGGTTATGCCAAGATTGACAATTTCTTACCAAGGCAAACTCGTCCACATGTAGTCTTGTTTTTTCAATCTCACCACTTGTGGTGAAAGGCAAGATGGCTGACTCAGCACCCTTGGTAAAAAGCACTTGACCTCCTTGAAAATCAAGTAAATACATTGAGATAATAAAATATAATATAAATATAATAAAATAATAAATTCATTTGGAAATTAAATTTTACTCAAACCGATTTTGCATTTCTTTTTGATTAAGCTAATTAAATAAAAATTTACTTCTTTACACAGTCATGTAAATTAGTTTTTTTTCCATTTGTAATCTTATAGACTGTATTATGTCTTGAGCTTTCAGTTTGAGCTTCAAGGTGACTTTCTAATTATAATGAAAATATTTTGTAGCAGAAGCAGACAACTTTACCTGAAGGAGTCTGCAGTATGACACTCATTCTCCTGCGATTTGGATCAAACTCCAAAACATGGAGGAGTTTGTACCTAATGGACAAAAAGACGACTTCTGTTAATTTGCCTGGTCTCTAATTAAACGGCATAGACGTATAGAAGATGTTTATTAAGAACAAGATTGTTTTTAAGTTCACCTGCTTACAATATAGGTGTACAAAATAAACTGGAACAGTAAAAAACACTTCAACTAAAGCATTGATGATGAAAGAATGATGAAAACTTTACATTTAAGCTCTGATTTAAAAATAATGTTCTTCAAGATTGACAAACTATTTACCTTTATTCATATAGTTTTACAAAACTTTTAAAATCAGTGTGAAATAGTGCTGAATGCAATATTAGAGATCCAAAGGTTAACATACTTTTCAAGCTTGCCAAATGATTTAATTTCCATGGCATCACCCCTGATGCTTGTGAATGCCACTCCAATTCTGTAAAATAAAAAAACGTTATCAAAAAGTTGACAGAAAAAAAACAAATAAATAAATAAATAAATAAAAATGTCCAAACAGTTTTTGCAAGCATTTACACTTAAAAGATAAACATACCCCACAAAAAATACACAACAAACATTAAGACAAATGATGGAAGCTTGATACAGTAAAGTAACCAAAAGCTCAGGCATAATATCATGATATTGAGTCTACAGTGCACGGTGATTAGTCTGTTTATGCCCATACAGACTTTGAATTTTAATCACTAAAATGTCAGTTACGATACGTAAGCTACAATTTTTTTTTTTTTACCATTGTACATTTACCAAAACAAGCCCTAGTAAAATGTAAGATTTATTGTAGGGCTACTGAACTGAATTATTTGTGTACCGTATCTTCCTTTTTTTGTTTGTTACAACACAGTCAATAGAGTTTAAAGACATTTTGTCATGAGTATGTGAACATTTTAATAGCCACACAGACAATATTACATAACTGAGAAATACAAATTAAAATATTAGTGTGAAATACTGTTTATTAACATAAAAACATACCATCTCATTTTTTTTTACATATATTATTTTAAGGAAATATTTAAAACTTACAGAAAATAAAGAATGTACAACACTTTATTGTAATTATACTTTACCTCTTCATTGCCTCTACTAAAGCCTTCTCATCTGGTGAGGAGGCATAGTACTCCATGTTATTTGAAGAGAAACCATTGGCATGGGAAAAAGGATCTCCTACCAGACAGTCTGGTTGGTCATAGCTGATCTGAACAGTGTGACACAGTGACACTGCCTTGAGAAATAATGTTTCCTCACTCATCTGGATGGAGAGACCAGGGAAAAAGAAATATTGCATCGTGTTCCAGACAGTGAAGTATGATGTGTCACTGTAAAGATTAATCCTTTACAGAAAGCAAGACACAATGTTTGTTTGTAGAAAAACATGTAAGTTGGGAGCCAAACCAAGTCAATTTTGTGTAGTGACCAAATAATACAAAGTACACAAAACTATAAATAATAATGTAATAAAGTTTGAGTTTTAGAGTTACCAGGTGTGTTGTAGAACAATCTGGAGAGTCTTCGGTCATACCCTCTGGTACCAGTTTCCCATTAACTTCTCGGTACTTGATTCCATTTATTGAACACTCACGAAACTGCATTTCATTTTCTGTTAGCGTACCAGTTTTGTCAGTAAACACATACTCTACCTATGAGACAAAAACACCCAGATGTGCACAAAAAGTTCAATGTTTCTCATTCAATAACAATTCATGTTTGTAAAAGTATTCACATGCAAAAAAATGCAAACTGTATGCAAGTAGTTTGCATTTTCCAACTCAGAAAATTATAACAAACATATACAAGACTTCTTCACTCCTCTTACTTACCTGACCCAACTCTTCATTAAGATCAGATGTGTTGACCTGAGCTTTCTGATCACTTCCTTCATGGTACAGGTCCAAATCCCAGCCAATAAAAAAAGAGCCCAGGAACTTTTGCATTTCCACAGTGACATAGAGTGAGATGGGGATGATAAAGTTATAGAGGACCAGAAATGCCAAGAAGTCAGAGATGAACTTAAGAATCTGAAGAATGAGATACAAAAAAGGAGAAATTTGTAATTAAAAAAAGTGTCATTAAAGTGTTAAAACAGATAAATCACAAAAAACAAAATACAGATGTCTAGTACTAGATTTTTATTTTATACATGTTAGCCACACACAGGCTGATAGGGCCTCCACACTGATCCTTCTAAATCAAAGCAGGCAGGGTAATTAATTCCCATCAAGGAGATAATTACTTTTTCGTGACTGGGAAGAGGAGTGGGCACAGATTGTGAGAAAGTTTCAACAGCACCAAAAGTCACCTTTATAGCATGCTCATCTAAGAAAGAAGTCATAACATCAGATTAGGGAATTAAGTATTTACTAAATTATGACTAGTTATCTGCACATTCAACTTTAGGCTGTAAAGAAAGGTCAGAATTTTCTAGAAACATTTCTCCTTGGAGAAAGGAGATAACGTATTTGGAGATATGCTTTCTTGTAAAAAGTATACATTATACAGCTTATCAGGTTGCTGGGGCACAGATTATACCAAATCTGAAAAGAAGGCTTTTTGTTATTTGTATTCCAATTTGTCATAAAACAGCAGAATGTCTTGAGCACAACTTTGTGCTTATATTTCTTTGTGTTGCAAAACCGTCTGCTGGTCGATGTGACCGATTAGTGTGAGCAGGCATGCTAACATACCAACAGATAAGCCCTGTGACAGTCACTCCTTTCTTATACAGCAACTTGTCACAGAATCAAACAACACTACGTTTAGCAGTTTCTTTGAGAAGGTTTGAGGTGTAAACATTACCTCATCTTGAAAAAAGATTTTAACAATTAATTTTGAATCCATTGTTGAAAAAAAAAAAAAAAAAAAAAACTAGTTTATGACTGTGGTGAAAAAGAAAAAGCACAACAAAGTACAGACTGCTTTAACATAATGAAAACAGTGTAGTAATAAATAAACAATTCTTATTTGTGGCTCTGAATGACTGACAAAGGAGGGAAATCAAAAACAAAATAAAACAATTCTGATTAAGAAACCATTGCAGACTAACCGGGCTGCTGTTCTTTTCTTGTTCAGTCTTTTGATTGTAGAAAGGCTCATTCCATTTCTCTTCAGCCTGCCAGGCATACTTCAGAATGGTGCTGAGGATGGCCTCAAACAGCAAGATGACCAGGTAGATTATCAGGAATGTGTTCATTGACCTGATAAAAGGAAACATTTTAGGTGTTAAGTTTCATGATGCATAACCTTGGACAGCAGTACTTTAATTACTTAGAAGAAATTGCTTACTTCTCAACTGCAGAGCGTTTCTGGGACTTGCACTTATAGTTGAGTGCCATCTTGGATTCCATCCCTGTGTAAACTGCCACACCTGCAACAGCGGTTAATTTAGGCATTACATTAGGCTTGTGGCTTGTCCATTATATTCCTGAACAACTCATACTTAAAACCAGATTATAAAACATTAAAAAGGTGTGCACTTGAATATTCAAAAAATATATAATTGTTTTTTGTTCATACCAAACAAAAGCAATGCACATAGTCCAGACTACTAAATAATAGGTGCACTGTTCTCAAATGTGATGGGAAATACCACTTAGAATTTAGTGGGGGGAAAAAGTCCTGGGTAAAATAACCAGATAATTGAATTTTGATAAGCGACTTATAGCAGCAGCTCAGAATTGCTTATCATGTTACAGCTGTGATTTGTTAATGACACAAATCTGATGTGATTCAAGTTTTATTAGACCAGCTATACCATATATGTCACTTCACAGAAAAAACTTTCTGCTAATAATATTTCTATCCTTAGAGGGTTCACTCTATCATAAATGTCTGGATCTTTTATGTTTCAATTTCTAAAACCAGTCAGACTCACCAAAAATCTCTTTGGTATTTTTCAACCTGGCTCCTCGCAGCAGCAAGTTCTCTGGACCCAGTGGTCTGATATAAAGTTAAAAAAATGATTAAGGTGATAGTTCTTGCAAATAATACATGTTTAAACGTGTAACTTTTCATTTTGTTGCAAGCCTCATACGTCAAGTCAACAAATGTCTATCAGGATGTTTTCTCTCACACCATTTCTGAAGGGAAAAACATCCTTTGGATTCAGCACTAACCAATCATGATTAGATAAGTAAAACTACTTTAAACATCAGGTCTGAACAACCCTCATGTATTCTTACCGTTTCTCTAACTGGATAAATACATATATTCACCACCACCTATGCTAAAGAGTTTGTTTTGTAACAGCAATGATAGACTCATTCAACCAATCCAGCAGATGGACATGGTCTTTGAGTGTTCAAGAGTAATTTGTTTGCTCAAATGAGCGAAACAGTCTACAACAACAATAAAAGAAGCAGTTGGGGAGGGGGGGTTGATGCTTGTTCCTAACGTTTGTTTACACATCTTCTGTTTTGAACACAGATTATCAAACATCTGAAAAATCTATTAGTTGACAACAATAAAAGCCAATAAACCAAAAACTTTCATTCCTCAAATACATTAAATCCCATGATGAACTGTAATATTGAAGCTACTCAGTGTAATCTGATTTAATGTTTAATGCTTACCTAATACAGTAAATAAATGTTTACAATAAGTACATGTTGAATTAATTTATTATACATTAAAATCTTGCCTTACCTGACTATCTCTTCTTCATGTTTAGTCACAGTGATACGACCTACAAATCTGAAAGAGATCAAAAATGTTTTAGAAATATAAAATATTTCGAGTTAATAGAGCGATTACTAATTAAGGAAACAAGGCTAATATGATGTTGTACAAGTTGGGTCACAACCAAAAGCCGACAGATTTCTCAAGAGGAACATCATTACAAGGCTTACATTTAAAATAATAGATTTCTAATTATTAAAACAAGGCTAAAATAATGTTTAAAAAAAATAGATTACAGCAGAAAGCTGACAAAAGCTGGGTCAGTTCACTCCATGTAAATTTAAATTCACCGTCTATGGCTCAGGACAATGACTGAACAACTTTTTCCATACAAGTAGCAGGTTGTCGATCACAATAGCATTCTGACCACTGAGTGCAAAAAGGCAAATGCTATTTAGATTTTAATATTACAATTATTCAGATATTTTATAATATTTAAAATGGTGAAAAGCTTAAAACATAACCAGAAAACCGTTTGGCTTGTCTTATTGATACTGTATATACTGCAATCTGGATGTTTGCAATCTCTCATACACCTATCTTGATCTTGTAAGGGCTGCAGCACATCTTTGAAAGCAGCTATCGTGAAAGAAAGCAACCTTGTGTGAGGGGGAGGGGAGAAAACTGCCACAGATGCAAACTGCTTACTCAGTCCTAAGGCTGCCAGTTAAGTGACAGGAGAAGGAGAGGTTGTTGTTGACATGATAAAGCCTTTAACTTTGCCATCGGTTTTATCACTAGCAAGCAAGAAATGTTATTCACATTTTAAATGATTTTTAAGAGGAACATGTCGATCATGCCTGCTACTACAGATAAAAAGGTGATTATGTTTTGGCCTGTGCCTGTGTGTTTGTCTGTCTACCATTAGCAAAATATCTCAAGAACCATTGTATGGGTTTTAATGAAATTCTCAGAAAGTAATCATAGGATGAATGTCTAAAACCGATTCACTTCTGAACTCAACCCAATTTAAGATGGCACTCATAGACAGCTGATCTTAGAAAAACAAAACTTAGCCAATTTAAAGATATAGATCTAAAATTTGGTATGGTAGTAGTACCCGAGCATTACTCCCACTACATACTCAGTCCTGTCTATGCCCTTTTGAGTAGGAGGCTAACAACTCAGAGTAGGGGGCTGCAGTCATTTCCAACATAAACACATCGATTTTCTGTGTGGTGAAAATGTTGGTGAATGCAGACTGTTTGAACATTGATCACTGATGAAAATGTCTTACCAGCATCACAGAAATGACAAGAGTTATAAAGTCATAATCAGCAGCAGCTGTCAATTTTGTAGCGTGAGTTTCAAGAATCTAATAATTATTTCGCAATTAATTTATCTTTATCTTGCAGTAGTCCCAGCTGAATGCATGCAGCTCAAAAACTTCATTTCTGTAACTAGAGACAAGATCAAGAAATCTGATCGACCTGAAATAAAAATCTTCCTTCTTTCAGCTTTTCCCTCTTCAGGGGTCTCCACAGCGAGTCATCCTCCTCTAGCTCACTTTGTCCTCTGCATCCTCTGTCCTCACCAACTACGTCCATGTCCTCTCTAACTGCATCCATATATGTCCTCTTTGGTCAACCTCTGCCTTTTTCCTGGCAACTACATTTCTAACATCCTTAAATCAATATACCCACGGTCCCTCCTCTGGACATGTCCACATAAAAATATATAATTTAAATTATTTTTTAATGCTTTAAGCATTTTTTTTTTGTTTAAAAACTCTACCCTAGTTTTTTTTTATTTTTTAAATAGACAAATTTTTTCATTTACTGTAATTTTACAAAAGTGGTATTTTCCTCCATTAGTACTCCCTCTGGGTCAACATCCACATCCTCCTCTGTTCTCCAAAGCTCAGAACTGATGCTTGATTCTGTTGGCCTAGTCAGAGGGGTTCTGGACCCCCACCTCTGTCAAAGTCAAACCTCCTAGTGGGGCTCAGTCCTCTCTTCCTCTTCTAAAACAAACCATGATCACCTTCTTAATCAACAAAGTTCTCAGACTGTTTTGCTCCTTCATGATCCTCTCCTCTGTCCGAGAGGTTCTGACTCGGCGGTTCCATCCTCCTCTGGGTCTGCAGCTCCTCCTCACATTGAGAAATTGTCTCGTTTTGACACAAACACAATGACTAAACCAAACACACTAAACTACAGCCTACCTATAAAACCCAAACATGCTAAATATCACAAATCTCTCAAACCTCATGACTCACTCCCGCTCTCGCTATGACTATCACTCGCTGAACTTCATTCAACTTCTGTCTTTTTTCTTCTTCTTCCAGTAGATTTAGTTGGCGCTTGACAAATAACTTTGAAATGAGGTCAAAAAGGAGGGGGGAGGTTGTTTATCTGTTTGGCAGGGGTGGGAGGTGAAAGTGGAGGGTGATGGGGTGTTTTGTCTCTGAGACTGCCTGTCTTTGCTGCAGCCACTCGCTCCAACGTGCTTCAAATAGTGCAACAGATGCTGAGAAGCTGCGTCTTTGCCACTAGAGTGACTGAACTTGGTCATGTGACTATCACGCACAGGTGTGGTGATTGGCTCCAAAGGGAGAAAAAAAAAAGTTAGTCAGAACAGGTGGCGCCAGACACTTGAGTAGATGGCAAAATCGCCACGTTACTGAGAAGGTAGCATACTGTATATGCTACACATTGCGTTATAGTTTTGCATAATTTTGGCATTGAATGTTAGTATCAATCCCGTCTGACTGAAAGATAAAAATGCCATGAACCCCTAGACAGCCAAATGACCTCAAAGCAATTATTTGATGATGTAGGTCTACAGCTCATTAACATTTTGAGTCAAACAAATTCAAGATGGTCACAAATGCAATAACCAAATCAACAAGGATAATAGCATTTAAGTGGAAGAGCTTGATATTATAGTTACCAGTACTCAACTCCATTGAACTGAATATAAAATATTCAACATTTGTATTCTGAAGGTACCAGTTTCCACAAGTACAGATTACCTGTATAAATCAGCTTCTGGCTGATGACACTCCACTACAGCCTGTAAAGCCTCCAGCTGGGACACTGACTGACACACTGATGTTTCTGGTACAGAGAAATGAGTCTATGAAAAACACAGTAAAAAAACTGATTATGGAAAGTGATGGTTAAAACTGGGACAACAATGCTTTAAAGTAAAGTAATTATGTATAAGGAAAACATTTAGAATACAAAGAATAACAGAATTAGAACAAATATTCTTTACTGCAATTCTAAACTGCTTCAATAAAGTACCATTGTTTGAGTAAACAGAAGACAGTATAAAGGTGAATCAATGTGCCGGTACTGTATGCCTGACTAATATTAAAGAAACAATTACACTGGCTGTCTACATCATTTCTGGTCTCGTTTAGCTCAAATCAGACAATGACCAACTCATCAGTTTACTTGTAAAAAAAAAATTCAAATAAAATTGGTCATGAATCTGATAATTTTATAGTTTTGACAGGTCCTTAGTTACATATACAATGATATTAATTATTTTTAAATTATAAAAAGACTGTGGTATTTATGTGCAGTGCAATACTAAGACAAATGCAACTGACAATTTAATGTGCAGAATGCAAACATTTTATCAGCATATTTTAAGCTTACTACTAAAAACCCTTTATGCATGGAGCTTAAACATAAATCCCACCTTTTTTTAACATTAACCTGTTTACTGTGTGCTTTGCCACTAGCGTCACTGCTGAAACCATTCATAAAGCTTCAATTGTTACAATGAGTCAGGCCAAAATAATGTTTACTGGTGCCAATGTCTCCTAAGTGGGCTTCTGCGGAATTTAAATTGTTCATGAACTTCAAGATGCAAATACATACACATAAAATGTTCACAATTTGATTACAGTCGTTCAAACAAACCTTAAGGTTGGTCTCTCCATCAAGGCTAGCTGTGGTGATGTGACAAGTACCATCAACACGATCTGATGAAAGCAACACCAGATCAGCTGGGAAGGTCTCATCTTTAGCTACACGAACAATATCCCCTACCTGAATGGATGAGCAAAATCAGAACCAGTTAATACGGGCCTTATTTAGGACATATTAAATGTATTAATACTGTGTAGTAAACTTGTTAAAATTACCCTTTCATTCTTCTGATTAAACAAAACGTGTTTTTATCCAAATACTCCAAAGTAATCAATTGTTCATTTACATTATTCATACTGTTGAAGAAAATGTTTTGTTTTTTCTTGATAAATGTAAAGCAAAAAATACAAAAAAAGAAAGAAAAAAAAAAAGACTAGTTCTGTCACCAATACTATTTGTCTTTAGATTTTATAAATACAGAACAATTTGTTTTCTGAGTAGCCAAACAAAACTAGATCTATAGTTCAGTTGGGTTTTTTTTTTTTGTTTGTTTTGTTTTGTTGCCTGTTCTTTGAAGCAAAATAATTTTTTATATAGGAAAGAAGGTAAAAGTTGCAACCTAATGACTAAGCATCTACTGGGACAGACAGTTTCAACATTTTTTGTGACTGTCTAAAACTATTGCCCTCTTGTCGGCAACTCTCCGAGCTGGGACTATAAACACTATCATGTGAGCTATTCAAGCTGGAGAACTTAATTTGTCTTTCTTCTAAAGCATACATCATTGGATATCATTGCACTAGCTTCACTTTGTCTTAGAAAACTCAGAAAATGTGTGTGTATTATGTTTTAAGATACAGGTTTTTCATGTGGCTGTCATCAAACACATTGAATCATTGAGAAATGATAACAGAAAAAAATGTTTATATACAGGTAGAAATTACATGTTATTGTTGTAGGCGAAAGTTTACAATTTAAATAAATGCAAAGCACAAAAAAACAGCAAATGGTAGCATTTGAGAACTTAAAGCCAACAAAATCAATTCATTTTAATTATTTTAACTTTATCAGCAATACAGGTGCAAGGAGAATAACCTTCACATCAATGTGAAGAAGACAAAGGAGATGGTCATGGATTTCAGACGGAACAAACACACACCACGCCCCCCGAAAATAGGAGGATCTGCAGAGGAAGTGGTCTCCAGCTACAAGTACTTGGGTGTGCACCTGAATGACAACCTCAGCTGGGACAACAACACTACCAGCCTGATCAAGAAAGCTCATCAGAGACTCCACTTCCTCAGGCGGCCGAGGTGAGCTGCTCTGGGAAGCTCAGTCCTCACCTCCTTCTACAGGTGTGCAGTGGAGAGCATCCTGTGCTCCAGCATCAACGTGTGGCTAACCCTAATCCTCTGCACAGCTGCAGAAAAAAAAGCTTTACAGAGAGTGGTGAAGGCTGCACAGAAGTCTGTTGGAGTCGGTCTTCCCACCATCACAGACATCTACACCTCCAGATGCAGGAAGGACCACCTGCATCATGAAGGATCCCACTCACCCAGCGCACACACTTTTTGCCCCACTCCCCTCAGGCAGGAGGTTGGAGGAGCATTAAGTGTAGAACCACTAAACTGAGGAACAGCTTCTACCCTGAGGCTGTTAGACTCATTAATCTCTAACTAGAATAATCACTGTGAATAATCACATCATGTTGCTGCTGATCCGTTTTATGTTGCTGTGTTAATTTGTGTTCATCTGCTCACACAGACTCATGTTCGTGCTGCTGTTCGGCATATTGTTTTTATGCTTTTAGTGCATAGCATATTTTTAGTTGGCGTTTCTCTTAGTTCGTATCTTAGACAAAAGTTTAAAATTTAAATGAATGCATTTTATTACGGTTTTTCTTTTACATTTTATTGTGGGATGTAACTGGGACCCCGAGTACACAATCTTGTTCCACCAGATGTAACGCATGTGGTGCGAATGACAATAAAGAAACCGACAGACTCTGAACAGGTTTTAGCAAGAAATGATGCTGTTTTAATGGCATCAAGTAAAATCACAATAAATCTATAATCATCTCATGCATATAATAACTGCAAATTTGACCAAATAAAATCAGAACTTTTTTTTTTTTTTTACACCTAGAGGTAACCAAATTAAGTGACAAGGTTGTATCTTTTATTTTTACGTCTTCAATAACAAAGCTTTCTAGTTATAGTATTTATGGTAAAAGAAACGCTCACTAGCACAAGGAATTTAACAGCCATGCTACAGATCAACAATACTGAGAATTTCTAATGCATAAATCTGTTCTGGTAAAATAGACATCTGAAATGGAATAACTGACATGATGCATTTTCAATATTTTTCATTCAACCTTTATTTATATATATATAATATATATATTTTGACATCTTACCCTAATATTTTTGGATCTTGTCTGAACCAGACTTCCACTGCGAACTACAAACACTGGCGCTCCATTAACCTCGTTGTCAGCCTTGTGTCTCAGCCAGTCTTCATAGCCCTGCAACAACATTCAATCAACGTTCAGTCATTCAAGCTTCTCGAATATGGCAAATCACAAGAGAGCTGCCTTCTTAACAGGTGGTGGGCAGAGTTTTTGATACATACTCAAGCGTCCCATACCACTTACATTTAAAAATCCTTTCCGTTTTTGCTCTGGCTGAAAATATTATACACCTCATTTTATTGTCATACATGTGAAGTCTTACAGACTTTTCACGACTACGGACATACAGAGAAAGTGTTACGGATTTTCAAAAACTCTTTAAATTTATTTTACATCTCAAAGCCGGCCATCACTGCTCCCCCCCACCCCACCACCCCACCCAGTGCTCATGTGAGCCCAAAATGCTCAAACAATATGTAAACAAAGCTCTCTGGTGCCCAGGGATGGAAGAAAAGAAAAGCAGAGAGAAAACACAACACAGACAGAGGTAGGAGAGAAAAAAATAAGAAATTATTTACTTCTTGTAGAAATAAGCGTTTGCACCTTTTTCCACACATTAAGTACACAGAAATAGAAAATACAACTCCATCTTTAGACCCAGTTTTACTAAACAGAACTTGGTTGCAAAGTTATTTGTAGTAAACATATGAACTGTGGTTTTACCCAGCACATTTTTCTTATTTAATTATATGAAGGAAATGTTTAATGCACAGAGTTAAATTGTCTATTGCATTTGCAATGAAAAAGACAAAAGTCAAATAAAAACCATCAGGGACCATTACAGCAGATGCAATATCTAAGAGCTCCATTTAAGATATTAATTTAATCTAATTTTTATTCTGATTTAATCTGAGAGATGCATTTAAAATATATTTTAAGGGAGCAATACTAACGCTCCACCCAACCCCCCAGCCACCCAGTGTTTAAACAGACTGCGTTCAAACATTTTCACAACACAGAACATCTATGCACAATGTTTATGTTGGAAAATTACTTCAGCCTCCTACTCAGAAATATTAGCCTCCTACTCAAAAAGTTATTGAGATGGCTGAGTGAGCAATTTAAAATATACACTGATATGGCGACATGAACCAAGCATGATGTTGATCATACTGGGTAAAAGGTTGGCTCGAACAAACATGTTTATTTTGGCAAAGTTATAACAAGCAATAAAATAAACAATTACAGATCTATTGAGATTTGATTTCAAACAACGAATGAATTGTTTTCTTAGTGAGTCAAAAAAAAAAAATTACTGCTTTTAAGAGTTGGTTTTAACAACAGCTTAAACTAATGTTAACAGGTCAGTTCCATATTTTCAGTGTAAATATAAGGAAGTTATTAAAGGCTCGAGTTCTCACCTGTTTTATAGCAGTGACTGTGATCACAAAGAAGAGAGGGAGCCCACTGGTGACCGGGGAAGTTGGAGTGTCTATCATTAACTAGAAATAAAATGTACAGGTGAGGTGTCAACAAACTGATAAAGCAATAAAACAAATACAAAGTCAGTAATAGAGTGTGTAACTTGTGAAAGAACAGTGAGAAGTAGTGGTTTGTATATGTCAAACAGAAAATCTCCAAGTTCCCTCTGATGTTAAATGTCAAATCACTACAAGAAGTCTCATACACTTCTGTACATGTATCTCCAAGTTTTGGTAATACAGTACCTTTCCTCAATTTTTACAGCTCCTTATTTTACATTAGGAAATTGCAACAGAATTTCAACATCAACTTTTGTATCAACACAAACTGTAAAACATATTTTTCAATAAATGTGGAGACGAAATGGTCTTACACCTGGTGTTTGAAACTCAAACTATTCATCTTAAAGCAGACACACATGCATACAAAAAACAAATGAAAATTAAACAGTTATTTTATAAATGCAGGCACATCTAATCCTCAATGCATTATTTCGTGGATCAAATATTAACATTTTATTTATTATGATAGCAGTGTAATCATGAGCTTGAACTGCATTGACATTGTGGTCCATGACATTAAGGTATCTGCAATTCATCAAACATTAAATGCTCTAAAATCTACACACAAAACTTTGTTGCTGTATAGAAAATTAAAAACTCTTAAAATAGTTTTAAATAAATCATCAGGCACATGTTATATTAACTGATGACAGATTGTAATACATTCCTTTAGTTTTGTAAGTTAATTTAATATTTTCCAAGAAGTTGAATATTATGATTATGATGATAACGACAACAACAAGCACAACAACAATAACAACGATGATAATAATATGTTTTAGGTAACTGAGGTGAAAATTAAAAGCTGATTTTGTTAATAAAATTATTTGGGTTACCACTGCTTCAAGATGGGTCCTCAGTTTTTTCTAATGAGCAGATAATGCAGCATACATTACTGTCAACCGTTTCACAATGTTGTAGTGTTCAACAGATGGCTGTAAAGGACAGTAAGGGCCTAAATGATTTTGCAAGGACATCAAAAAACAAGGATGTGCAAAAGAGTATGAATGAGAGGAGACTGCTTTCCATTTGAAGGTTTGGGGACTCGGTTCCTAGCCCTTGCAGTGTGCCAAAGTGTACACTTATTGGTGTGCTAAATTGCTTAATAAAATTAGACCAGAAACTGGAAATAAAATGGCTTAATTCTTTATAAAATAGTGTCAGTGTTTCTAAAGTATTCCCATGGACCACATTTTTCAATGCATACTTAATGTATACAAATAAAGGTTGAATGAATATTGGTTATTTTTCTGCAATATGTATTTTATATCGGTGACAGTTCAATAAAGCTTCTTGGCCTTAAATCATTTAGTGCAATACAAGGTTTATGCTCTACTCGAATGCAATGTTGTTGTTCATTAGCCTTGCATGTTCATTGAAGCATACAGCATTTGAAGACTTTGCTGTAGTTGCCCTGCAGACCATCTGAGAACATCTAGAAGTAAAAGGTCCATGTTTCTATCTAAAAACATGTCAGGTTCACATTTTCAAAAAAGAAAACTAATGCTTTGCAGTCCTTTCAGAATAATACGATTTCAAAGCACTGACAACTTGAGTGGTAGAAAAGACGGTCTCCTCAGACAAAGTCAAGTCAATTGCTTTGGCTTCAATACACAGTCCCAAATACATCAGAGTAGGGCTAAAAATCTGAAAGCCAAAATCCAGCTTCAGCACAGGGTGACTGATGCATTCTGAAGGCGTAACATTTTAGCTGGCAGGAAGTACACATTTTACCAGATGTGTGGGTGTAATTTTTAAACAGTCACTTCTTTCTCCTCTGGCCCCTACAAGTTAGTGACACGTTCACTCATGCAAAAACAGATGCACATACACATTTTTATCTGGTGCAAAAAAGTTGATGTCGCACATGACTCATCACCAGCTGATGAAACATAGCATGCACCTGCAGAGTGGCCTTTTTGTGTATTTGTGTGTGAAATTACCTGTACAAGGAAGATAATGAGAAAATAGAAGTTTGCAATCCTCCTAAATTGTTCAAACAAATTCTTGGGTACAAAATTCCAAATTGTGTACTGCAAGAGAAAGAACAATTAAAAAAAAAAAGGTCAAAAAGCAAGAAATACATTTTAAGCAGTAAATATGTGTCAAGGCTGGCAAACAAGGGGCACACACCCCACTGTTTGAGAACTACTGAACTAACCTAACAAAAGATTTTTGTTGCATTTGTTCAAACTAATTTACATAACAATTGGCAAAATGTGGGTTCTCTGAAATACTAATTTTTCTCTAACCTTAAATTTGCTTCAGCAAAATATGCTTTATATCTTTCACCCAATGTCTCTCAAACTCACTTATTTTAACATAAATATAAAACATAATTATTGTTTCTACGGTATATTTTTTTCATATGTTACACAGAAAATAAATTTAAGGTTTTATAAATGTATACATGTTTTCTCAAACTGATATTAACTTTACTGTGCAAGTCTCTTTTTGGGATCTTTTTAATTTAGTTTGATTAGTTAAATAAACACAACAACAAAATTTCACATAGGCTACAGGCAAAATAGTTGTGCAGCGTTTCCCCTAGGTCATTTGCCTTGGAAGGGTGCTTGTCTCTTCGGGGTTTTTGTCAACAAGGCACGCGAGGTACAAGAGAAACGGATCACTATGTTTGTATTGCACACTAGCTTAGAGCTACGTTAGTGCCGGCAGTTGTCAACATAGGTGGGGGTGTTGTTGGGTGTACAACGGAGTGCTACGCTTCTATTGCGCACAATAAAGCCTCCAGTATACTTGCTCATACGTGGGTCCGCGGAGGTCTGCGCGTACCGGATTAGAGTTGAAGCAGATGTCCGCAGGGCATGTCTGTGCAAAGCTCGATTTTTACGTCCACGTACGCATACTCTGTGTCGCACAATAAACTGTCTGGCGACGGACTTTTGTAAGTGACACCAATGTATTAAACTTCCCTTCTTCATCCTTGATCTGGTTTAATGGCCTTTTCTTTAGTTTTTTTTTTTTTCCCCAAGAGGCAAGCGATCTCTTCTTCCTCCTCCGTTGACGCCATGACTGAAATGGTGATAAATGAAGGAATTTGTTACGAGCGAATTAAAATCAGGTCCAGCGTGGCTGTGGGAGGGTCTAGAGATTTCCCGGTGGTCTGATGTGTGGGCTGCAGGGCCAGCGCTCCATGTTTTTTTTTTTTTACTATTTAGAACTTTTTATTAACAACATATAAAACACAGAACACTGCTGCGGCTGGGGCTACCAGCTCTTGCTTTTTTTCTTCATTTTGCGACCTGTCAATCAATTCAGTAGGCGTGTCAGCAAATGAACAATTAGCAAACTCAATTTGTCCCATAGGTAAACACCCCTTGTCTGTGGAGCTGCAGCCACTCCGAGTGGACGCTTGAGCATGAAGTCTCAACCCTCTGTGCACAGTGTGCACGGTTTCCGCGCAGCTGACAGGACGCGCGAGTATACTGGAGCCTTAAGGAGTCTGAACTGAGCTGCTAATCTCCGCTCCCTGTCTGGAAGTGGTGGAACAGAGTTGGGGGTGGGAAATTTGTTAGGCAGGTTGCTCGGTTCTGTTGAAAGGCAGGGCACCCTCTTTGGGTAATGGTAGGGGAAACAATGGTTGTGTTTTTGTATGAGATCGGCAAAGATGAGAAGCTGCTTAGGTCTCTCTTGTAAATGAGTCCAAATCTCAATGAGACTAACCTGTATAAATAAAGGTCGAATGCTCAACCATTAGTCACAATTTCTGAAAGTTTGCAAAATGACCACTGTGCCAAATAACTAACTAAACCAACACAGTCAGTCTCTAGTTTTTAATTTTTACATTTTTGTTTTTCAATGACAGCATATTAAAGTACCAGGAAACAAGACACACAAACAAGCCAACATGAATTTTAATACCTTGGATGAAATGATCCTGTTGTCTGCAAAGCGCTGTGGGATGTAATGACCATGCTGAGGAAAACGGTTTGCTACATAAACTGTCCTGGTGTCGCTTTGATGAGGTGGGTCAAAGCCCTGAAAGAGAAGAAAAGAGAGCCAACAGGGTGAGGAGAAGATTAAACTTAAAATAAGAGATAATGTGGAACTAACATTGAATTAGTGCATAGCTCAACAGATAATAAAATTATACTTTACAAAACAAAACAAAACCCTTCTAAAAGTAGATCTGTCTGTTGCTAAAACCGCGTTAAATTATACCATCTGACTTTTGATAACAATGCTGACTGTATTGGTTTAAAAAAAATTGATTAACTGAATTAGGCTTCCTTTAAACACAATTACTCCACTAAACAGTTTAAAAAATATTTCAAATGGAAACCACATTTTTACAAACAGTATGTTGTGAAAACTCGCTCTCACCAGCATAATGACACAATCACCTATAGCAAACAACTCTTCTGTCCTTTGATCACTGAGAAGTCCCACAGTCAAAAAGGAAGTTCAAAAAAATGAAATAAAACTTTTGATACAACTCACTTGTTTAAAACAGTGTTAAACTGCAGACAAATAAAAGACCTCTAAAACAGCATAACATAAAAGAACATTAGCTTTACAATGGAGTCAAACAAGCAGAACAATAAGGACTTTCTAAAGTAGCATACTGGATGTGATGCAAGTACAGGGAGAGTAATTTATCAGATGAACAAAGTTGACAATTTCAGTCACTGAAAGTAGGACGAATGTGAACAATGCCATCAATGTTTAATGATCATAGGTGAAAAACAAGGTTGTTACAATTTAACAAAATATGTAGAGTTGTATTTTAGATAAATGTGAAGCAAAGATTATAGACATTAAAAGGACAAGAAAGTGGACTTTGTAAGCCACAAATCCTAAGATCTAACAAAGAAATGACAGTGACTTGCTTGAATAAGTCATTACATCACAAATATTTTATAGAAATCTTTAAATTAATGGTGGTATACATTTTACTTAATACACCCTTATGATACACTTTACATGACTGCAACAGAACAATTTGAGAATGGGTGATGAAGAATTTCTCGATCATCTAATCTTTAGTTAAGTTTCCTAAACTAAATTTAAGTTGCCAAATCATTCATATCTATCTACACATTAAGCACAGCAACCATACATGTCCTCCAAGTACACACAAACATTACTCAGAGCTTCCAAAACCATGTCATTATAAATTGTTTACCGTCAATATTGTCCACAACAATATTGACTTAATTCTCATGTACGATTAAGAAAATGTTAAATTTCACATCTGAAACTCTCACAGCAGTTGCATTTATATGACAAATTTGAATAATCAAAATTAACAAGGCCCACAATTCATTAAAGTAATGTATATCGCCCACTGCCTTTCGTGCTACAGGTTTAAACTAAGATCCTCTTATGTTCAGAAATGATGGAGTTATGGCTATTTTGGTTAAACCTTGAAAACGTATGTGTGATCTCATGTGATATTGCAAGACTGGTCACCATTAATGAACAATCTGCAAATTTGTCAAAGTTAATACAGCAATTTTTATTTTCAAGATTTGTGTAGCTTTTTAAATTAGTCAGTGATGACTCTCATTTACTACTGCACCCGATTTTAACTTAATATTTGAAAAGCTATCAAGTTAAAGTGCTTTTTGTGTTGGACAAGGATTAATTAGCTGTAGCGACCAGCTTGAATTGTATTCCAACTCAAACAGTTAATTGCTGTAAATAAACATTCAATGATTACTTTCTGAAAGTGTCATTAAAATCCGTCTAGTGCTTCATGAAATACTTTGCTAATACAAAATGCAAATGCATGCACACAGAGCATGAGCAAAAACAGTGCATATTAGTTAATTGTGGTCTTGTGTCCCAAAAGGGATGAAGGGGACTAAACGAACTTTATTAGATAATTAAATAACCAATGCTGCTTACAAGAGTTCTGCTCCACTGTACTGAGTTAATTAGGGATGCACGATATTATCGACATGGTATCAGTATCGGCCAATGTTAACGTTAAATTTCAATATCGAACATCAGAGTCAGAGTCAGAGTTTCTTTATTGTCATTCGCACCTCATGTGGTACATGTGGTGGAGTGAAATTATGTACACAGGGTCCCAGTTACATCCAACAATAAAATGTCTAAGAAAAATAGTAATAACATCTAAGATATGAACTAAGAAAAACATCAACTAAATATACACTAAGCACTCATAACATAAAAACATTGAACATCAGCACAAACATGAACATGAGTCTGTGTGAGCAGATGTGCACGCATGAACACATCAACATTGAAACAGATCAGCAGCAACACAATATGGTTTTTCACAGTGATTATTCTAGTTAGAGGTTCATGAGTCTAACAGCCTCAGGGTAGAAGCTGTTCCTCAGTCTAGTGGTTCTACACTTAATGCTCCTTAACCTCCTTCCTGAGGGGAGTGGGGCAAAAAGTGTGTGTGCTGGGTGAGTGGGGTCCTTCATGATGCAGGTGCCCCTCTTCCTGCATCTGGAGGTATAGATGTCTGTGATGGTGGGGAGGCTGATTCCAACAGATTTCTGTACAGCCTTCACCACTCTCTGCAAAGCTTTTCTTTCTGCAGCTGTGCAGCCTCCGTGCCACACGTTGATGCTCGAGCACAGGATGCTCTCCACTGCACACCTGTAGAAGGAGGTGAGGACTGAGCTTCCCAGACCAGCTCGCCTCAGCCGTCTGAGGAAGTAGAGTCTCTGATGAGCTTTCTTGATCAGGCTGGTTGTGTTGTTGCTCCAGCTGAGGTTGTCATTCATGTGTACACCCAAGTACTTGTAGCTGGAGACCACTTCCACCGCAGATCCTCTTATGTTCAGGGGGGTGTAGATGTTTTTGTTCCTTCTGAAGTCCACAATCATCTCCTTTGTCTTCTTCACATTGATGTGAAGGTTATTCTCTCTGCACCAGCTCTCCAGGTGTTCCACCTCTTGCCTGTAGCTGGACTCATCATTGTTTGTGATGCATCCCACCACCGCTGTATCATCTGCAAACTTTACAATGTGACAGCCTGGATGGGTAGCTGCACAATCATATGTGAGCAGAGTAAACAGAAGGGGGCTCAACACACATCCCTGAGGAGAGCCAGTGCTGAGGGTTATGGTGGAGGAGGAGAGGTTGTGGATCCTCACTAACTGTGGTCTGTTTGTTAAAAAGTCTAGTACCCAGTTGCAGATGGAGGGGCTTAGTCCTAGTGTGGATAGTTTGTCCATCAGGGTTTGGGGGATCATGGTGTTGAAGGCGGATGTGAAGTCCACAAAGAGCATACGGACGTAAGAGTTTTTCTGCTCCAGGTGGTTGAGCGCAGTGTGGACCACAGAGGAGATTGCATCCTCTGTTGATCGGTTCTCACGGTATGCGTACTGATGAGGGTCCTCGTTGATGTTGATGGTTGTTTTTATGCGAGTCATGACCAGTTTTTCAAAGCATTTAGCGACTATCGGGGTGAGGGCCACAGGCCGATAGTCATTCAGACCAGTCACTGTAGAGCTTTTTGGGACTGGGATGATGGTGGCAGTCTTCAGGCAAGTGGGAACTGTCTCCAGGGTAAGTGAGGTGTTAAAGATGTCTGCCAGCACCTCACAGAGCTGATCAGCACATTCCTTCAACACTTTTCCGGGGATGTTGTCTGGGCCAGTTGCTTTGTGCGGATTAATCCTCCTGAAGGTACTCCTTACTTCCGCTGAGGTCACGCTGAGGTGCTCTTCATCCGGTGGTGAGGTGAGTCTGGTGCTGGGTGGTCTGTTCGGGTCTTCAAAGCGTGCATAGAACTTGTTGAGGGCATCAGGCAGAGATGGGTCTTTGGGGCATTGTTCACTCCTTCCTTTATAATCTGTTATGCACTTAATGCCCCTCCACATGCTCCGAGGGTCTTGTGAGATGAATTGACCCTCGATCCTCTTTGCATATGTGGCCTTGGCCCTCTTAATACCAGCAACCAGCTCTTTTCTTGTCCTACTCAGCTCCTCTGAGTTTCCAGACCTGAAGGCAGTGTTCCTGGCTTCCAGCAGGGTACGCACCTCTGCATTCAGCTAAGGTTTTCTGTTTGGGTAGCTTTTAACATTTCTGATAGTGGAGACTGTGTCAGTACATGTACTAATGTAACCCAGTACTGAGGATGTGTATTGGTCATTGGGGCCATTTCATTAAAATAACTCGCCGATGTAGCGGGAAGGGTTGTTTAATAGTTAAAATTCGTTATGAATTTTATTTTTATGGGGCACCACTCTCAGCTCTGAGAGAAATTCTGAAGGTCTGAAAATCAATTCAGATGTTTAATTAATTACCTCGAATTACCCTTTTTACACTGTGAGTTCTTTTATATGAAGGATTCAGATGTCATAAGTAAAACACACACGCTTTAATACAATTGTGTGATGTTTATTTGACTATGTATGATAAAAACAACTGTTGGCAATTATCAGAGTCAGAGTTTCTTTATTGTCATTCGCACCTCATGTGGTACATGTGGCGGAGCGAAATTATGTACACAGGGTCCCAGTTACATCCAACAATAAAATGTATAAGAAAAACAGTAATAACATCTAAGATATGAACTAAGAAAAACATCAACTAAATATACACTTAGCACTCATAACATAAAAACATTGAACATCAGCACAAACATGAACATGAGTCTGTGAGCAGATGTGCACGCATGAACACATCAACATTGAAACAGATCAGCAGCAACATGATATGGTTTTTCACAGTGATTATTCTAGTTAGAGATTCATGAGTCTAACAGCCTCAGGGTAGAAGCTGTTCCTCAGTCTAGTGGTTCTACACGTAATGCTCCTTAACCTCCTTCCTGAGGGGAGTGGGGCAAAAAGTGTGTGTGCTGGGTGAGTGGGGTCCTTCGAGGACAGAGGCAGACAAAAGAAAAGTGAGGTGGGGGGCCATAGGACAGTCACAAACTTTATTGTTAAAAGTTTGCTGCATTTTTCTACAGTGGAGGCTGCATGGTGGAGGCAAGTAAACTTTAAAGGATATTGTTGGCCAGTTAAGCTATTTTTCAGCCTAGATAATGGTTTTTGAGCAATAATAACAACCATGTCATTGTTGAGGTTTTGTGTTCTAATGTCAATTAGGGAGACGATAAGAGCCCTAAACCCCAGAAAACCACAGAGAAGATTCAGGCAGACACACAGAGGTACAGATGTCTGCCATCAACCCTAACCTCAGTGAATCCAGTGACCTGGTGGTGGGATGTGAGGGACAATATGTCAGTGCTATCAAACTGACAACCAGGTATTGGTGTGTGCAACAATCATCATCCACACCCTCAGAGTGAACATTTCCTACTGCTGGAGACACAATCAGCCAGGAGTGGGCTTGTTTGTGTCCAGAGAAAGCAGACATGTTGATTTTTCTGAATAAAAACTGTTAAGTGAAAAGCTCCTCAGTGTGTAGCAGTGAGCATTAAACACTGACGTGTCACTTGTTGTTTGCAACTGTTCTTTTGAACTGTAAATTATTTGTTTATTTTTATGTAAGAAAACTGCTTGGAATAGAAATACCAAAGTTAAAAAATAAAACTCACAATTTGTACTGTAATGTGTAACATAATTTGATTCTTGTTATAATTAATAGTAATTACAAAATTGGTACCGAAAAAAGAACCGTCAAGGAACCAACACCGAAGTGAAGGTACCGACTCCGGTACAGATACTGATTATTTTTTAGAAAGGTACCCAGCCCTAAAAATAATATATTCATAGACCAGCTGTGATGTTTATTTGAAAACCTAACCTTTTGTCCAAATGTTTTATTTTGTATTTTATTTACAAAATGTGTAATGGTAACTTCCTATAAGTAACAAGTGGAAAATAAGTATAAAATAAAACATGGCACAACTTTCAGGCTATTACAGTTGTGTTAAATAAACTAGTACTACTGAATAGCAAGAAGATTTTCATAACACATTTTTGGATCACCCTTAACAGCTGGAGCGTTCATATTTATCCAGTGACAGTACCAACATGTAAATCAGGTGAACAACAATGAAAACAAATAAAAAAAATGCATTGATATAATTAGTTGCAACAAGGAGAACTTGTAAACATACTCTGTGGAAGAAATCTGACCTTTCATTTTGTCTACGGACTCTAATGCCCACATCAATTTGAAGGCAGACAAGTAATTACTCCCTGCCTCAAGCCTACACATCCCACAGTGTCTTGGAGAAATTACTGCCCTGAACAAATACAATGAGTACAATAAGTTGTATTAAAAACTAAGAAGCATTTTATCAAAAGCAACAAGCAGGCGGAACATGGAAAAGGAAGGAGTTTTTGGATTAAGAGCAACCATCAAAAACAGAAAATTTCCCTCACTTTATACACAGCCACAGATTAGGCCAATTAACTGTAAAACCCATAGCTGTAAACCCATGAGTTACACTGAAAGCTTTATCTGAAAGAGATACAAGTCAGAGTTTAAATGCTACTGTTATGTATGCTATAATTACAGAAACTATTTATTGGTGTAAATGAAGAAGTGCTGGCATGAAGTCAGTACTGTTTATAGAAGACCGACACTAAAAACTGTCAAAAACGACACACCCAAATTATGTTATTTTTTTAATGAGTCCGGAGCAAAACACAAAGATTGTGAACATACAACACTACAATAACTTCTAGCTAATACTGAGGCCATAAAATATCCTCCACAAACTTTTTCATTAGGCAAGGTGACTCAGGATGCACTTTAATTACACCTTTAAATAAGTAGGCTGGTCAATTTTATAAAATGTATTGGATGAGCAGAGGTACCACAAACTAGAGAGACACACAGTTCTAAATGCACTAAAACTTTGAGAAGTTCTTAAAATGTAATGGATTCAAGCTGAACATTATATAAAATATTTGTCATTTCAGTGTCAGTAAAGAAAATATTATCACAAAGGACTTAAATAAATTACAAATTACTGAATTGCAAATGGATGCAGTCGTGTTCTGCTGCTAATAATATACTGTATGTGGTCAAACTTTCTCTAGCCTTGTTGTCCACACCTGGCTCAGATGACAGTGGTTAAAGAGAAGGTGAGTAATGTGGGTTTAATTACTGGTAATACTGCCATTGACATTTTGAAAATACTATTGTATATCCTGAGTTTTTCTGAAATTGTGCAGCCCTAGAGAAGATTAATATCTAAAAGCAAAAAGACTTTTTTTTTTTTAAACCAGGCTGAGAAACTTAACAAGTGAGTCAGACAACCAGTCTAACCTAACTTTAAATACAGGAAGAATGGTGCCTTCATGTACAGGTTCATTCAGACGTAATCTGGTGAACACAATAGAATTAAAATTTTTGTTTTAGTTTAGGGTAAGTTCAAAACGAAACAGAAAATATTGCACCACATACTGCAAAATGGATAAGAAGAAATTAGCTTCACAAGCTGATAAAAGTACATGGGTGTTGTTTTATCTAAGGTGCAGCTTTCTGGTTGCTGCCGTTTTTAATCCCAGGGCCACTACTAACGTTAAGAACCTTAACTTTTGCCACATTTCAGGCTTCAAACATAAAGATAAAAAATTTTAATTGTTTGTGAAGAATCAACAACAACTGGGACACAATCGTGAAGTGGAATGACATTTATTGGATGTGTCAATTTTTTTTAACAAATAAAAAACTGAAAAGTGGGGCGTGCAATATTATTGGGCCTCTTTACTTTCAGTGCAGCAAACAGTCCAGAAGTTCAGTGAGGATCTATGAATGATCCAATGTTGTCCCAAATGACCGATGATAAATAGAATCCACCTGAGTGTAATCAAGTCTCTGTATAAATGCACCTGCTCTGTGATAGTCTCAGGGTTCTGTTCAAAGTGCAGAGAGCATCATGAAGACCAAGGAACACACCAGGCAGGTCTGAGATACTGTTGTGGAGAAGTTTAAAGCTGGATTTGGATACAAAAAGATTTCCCAAGCTTTAAACATCCCAAGGAGCACTGTGCAAGCAATCATATTGAAATGGAAGGAGTATCAGACCACTGCAAATCTACCAAGACCCGGCCGTCCCTCTAAACTTTCATCTGGAACAAGGAGAAGACTGATCAGAGATGCAGCTAAGAGGCCCATGATCACTCTGGATGAACTGCAGAGATCTACAGCTGAGGTGGGAGAGTCTGTCCATAGGACAACAATCAGTCGTACA